ATACGTGGAATACCCACGCTCGGATCGCCCACGCTCAGGAGACTTCGGAAGAATCGTCTGCTCTCCTAGATGAGAAGCTGAAAGGAAATGGGGCGAATAGTGAATGTGGAGCGCTGAGGACGAATAACGGGGATATTTAAACCTATCCACACCGTCAAATGTGGGCTGGGCAGCACGCACTAACTGATTGAGCTACGACGGCGTTGCTGCTACTAAAAGTCTCACCAGTCCAAGAGGAGGCACTAATTAACAAGTCATAAGATTCCGCGAGGCTGAGACGTGGCTGTGCTTAATTTCATGTATCTAGGAAATTAGTTTGTAAATTGGGCGAAATCTGGAGACAACTTCGGTTTTTGAGATATGCTCGCCCTACGAGGGAAGTTGGTGACACCGCCTCTGTTCATCGCATGAATGCAAACCAGAAATTCATCCCTCGTTGAAAGAAAAAAGGCAACGTTTACACATGTGGTATCCGTTAATGTTTACAACAGTACTGTAATACACACACACACGACTTTTCTCTCACAGTTATGAAATCTATGCCAAAAACGCAGGTACTCCAGTACACCGGGAGACACTTGGTTACGCAAGATTCTACGCCAATATTTCAAAAAATATAATGATAATTCAACAGGTCCAGGTAATATACGTGGTCACCCGTGAATGAGCTAACGCAAAACGCGCTTCTCAAAAGGCTTGTGAATGATCGCAACCGTTGAAAATCTGTTCAGATCCTAACAAGAAAAAGTATTAAATAATCAAGCATGCAAGCTTCCATATCGTAATGTTAGGCACGCGGCACTATGATAAGGCTTGCACGAGACGTCGATGGCTGGGCCGGATGGTTTCGGTGAACTGTATCGCAGATCAAAAAGCAATTCGCTACAGAAAATCAGTGTTCAAATCAATCAGCAGGCGGCTATTGCTGGACGTACCTTGCCTGAACAACAGCGCTAACAATCGATATTTCACGATGGTGCTCGCGAGTTTATCCTCTGTCAAAGTTTACCGATGCGCAGCGATTCCTTATATCCATGGTCCGCGTCGTGTTGTGCCGTTGCTGGAATGTGCACTTAAAAGTTTGGGTAAGGCATAATGTGTGCCATTGGTGCATGCATGTCGACTACTTCCTCCCCTTATTATGAGCGTACGCTCTCCGTAAGCATGTGTCCCCAGGTGTTCATTAAACAAGCCTCAGTGCCTACATTGTTTTTTCACGTACAACTCCACTGGAAAAAGATTGCAAGACATTTTGTGTACATCCAGTGCGTACGGAACAAAATGCCACATATTATGTATGTGGAAAAAGATTGCAAGACATTTTGTGTACATCCAGTGCGTACGGAACAAAATGCCACATATTATGTGTTCTGCTGTATTTTGTGCATTTTACTTTTGGTCCATTGAGACCATGGATGTAGGAAGGGGGGGGGGGGGGGGCAGGGGGCCATGCTCCCCACCCTTGAAGGTGGGGAGCTAGCAATGTTAGCTGCCCCCCCCCCCCCCCACACTTCTCATATTAATGTTGCATTTGGCTTACTTTTGCACTACGTTGAAGATGCGTGCTGATTTGCCTTGTTCACCAGACATCGCCTTAATGCTACAGCCGCAAGGCTGGCTCCACGCGGGCTGGAGACTGCAACGCTGGGCGTCGAGGCGGTTGTTATGACTTGCGAGCACGCATGTTCAAGACCATATTAGGTAGTTTTCTTATCAGTAACCAGTTATGACAGGATCTTGAGCATTTTAAGGCGGCCAAGGGTTACCCATGTCAATGCAAATTAGGAACCCCATTTCATCTACAATTTACGGTCAGGGAGAACTCAACATCTCTGAATAACACAGAAAAACACGGAACTATATGAGAGTCTATATGACAATTGTTAGACTACCTGCGGTGATCAGGGGTGTTGTTGCATCAATGAAGGTTCCTGTGCTGATTCGGGGCTAACTGCGCGGGTCAGAAGGCCTCCCGTGTTGGGGATATATTACATCACAATGTGATGTGATATATCCTTCTATGGCCTCCGGATCGACCAGGAGATCCCACCCCGTGTCACCAGAATGATAGCCGGAAGACACGTAGCGATGAGACGAAAAGGCCCTTCAGCCCTTGACTGGAAACGGTAATGTACCCCTGGTGTTCTACTCAAGAGTCCCCTGCCCGGAAGGAAATAAGGAGTCTCATTACTGTTGAGTAGAGTGGGGTCTCATTATGGTTGGATAGAATGGGTCGAAAGAAGCTTTTAGAAAAACGAGCAAGGTCATACCAGGTTTGCCCAAAAACGATCATTTTTTTTCAGAATGTACTGGTGAAACAAATTACGTCAAAAGGCTTAAACATACCCGCACGCAACCTCGAGAGCAATGACAAGGATGGTCTGGGTTGCAACTTTCGTAAAACCGAAAAGTTTCGGCCGCTGCAAGTGCCATCAGACGGCGGGCGCCACGTTAATATATCTTCTAGATAGATAAATACTGGCAAAAAATACGAAAAATAGAGATCCTACTTTCACTCCTCCCGTTCAACCACCACATTCCTGACACACTTCGCGGTGCTGTAGCGGCCAATCTGTTCTTTTCATCAGTCAAAAAATTGCACACGTGAAATATGCACTCAGACTACTTTCTTAATGTAAGATCTGATATTATGAAGCGCTCAAGGATACTTTTCAGAAGCGTCGTCATTTTCGTCCATCCGTTGGCCACAGCTCAGAATTAACTGCTAGGCCGACGCTGCGCGGCCTACGGAGACTACAACGTCTGAAGTCGAGACTTGTGTTTCTAAAATTTTTGAGTGCGTATGCTCAAACTTACGTCACATAATTTGTTTTACTAGTCGATTAAAGTGTTTAAAGATAATCATTTCAGAAACGTTATCATTTTCGTCTACCTGTGGGACACGGCTAAATATTAGCTGATGAACCAACCCTCCGCGGACTATGAAGACTGCAACGCCTGGTGTTGTGGTTTTGTTGTTAACATTTGCGAGCGCGCATGTTAATAATACGCATTGTTGACCACTCGATTTGCAATCAAATTTTCATCTTCAAATGGGAACCAAACATATCGATCCACAATCTACCTTCGTGATGTCCCCAATGTCTGTAGAACCGAGATGAAAATTATGTCGCTTTTGCGCATGTCAGCCTCGTGTTCCCCTTTGGCAAGGCTCTGGCTACGCCCCTGCCTACACACAAAAGCAGATCAAGTCGTGTACGTTGCACGATGGGCTATGAAGTGTCCGTTGGGCCAATTCATTCCTAAGGCCGACAGCTTCCCGGATGCTATTTTTCTGCGATGGTGTGGTATGGGGAAAGATAGTTCGGAAAAAGATACTGCTGCAGGTGTACAACACGTGTTCCATACACCATGTAGTATTAACGCTGGTCCAAAAGTATGCAAAAAAGCAGCCGTACGATCACTTCGCAGTCAGTCATGCGCGAGACACCCGGGCCAGCGGTGGACAGGAGCAGGGCCGAGATAAGAAACATATGACAGATGGGCGTTATTATGTGACCTGATTCTTAAAAGAGAATCTCCAGTTTACGGCTCTTGTCGCATTGTTTCTGGCGGTTTCAAGCCCCCGAATTCGTTTCCGCCCAAAATGCTGCGACAAGTCTTATCTCTTGAAAAGCAGCCAGCGAAATGAAGACGCATGAAAAAATCTGTCGCACTGCGAGCCATCACTTCCACTTTCAAAATTTTCACTAGCCTATATCCAGACCATATTTTGGCATCTTCAATGTGGAGGCAGATGCTTCCTTTATGACCCAAAATGCTTACCCGCTCGTGGAATTTCGCCTCCACAGGAAAGACAATGTTAAAATGGACGAATAATCTAGAGAAGCTGGATATCCTTATTTGCCAAACAACATATGAGTCGAATAGGCAAGATTGTGCACCAGTGATGAACAGCTCTAGATGCATATCTCGCACAGCAGCCGTGACATTTGAATAAATAGCGATAACAACCTCCATCCCCACGCCTCCCCCCGTCGCCGGTCATCGGGCTCGCTTTCCAGAAAAAGTTCCTGAAGTACACCTTGAGCTTGCCCCCCCCCCCTCCACTTTTTGAAACGTTCCTACGCCTATGCTCACGTTGCGGAAAGCGGACTGGAGGGGGCTATGTTCGCCTCCTTGGCAAATGGCAAGGGACAGTTAGCCACTTGTACGTTGGGTGGCGCTGCTACTGGGCGCTGCTACTGGGCGCCTCCGTGAGTTAGATACACGTAGGTACTAAGAACCAGCAATAAGAAAGTTACCAGGTTGAAAAGAGTGTAGAAATGAATGAAAGATGGTTCACTTAAGTTACATCAGCGGTATGTTACAACAAAATGGATCTTTAAAAAATCCGGCACTGTGTGGGCAATGCTCATGAATTTTCAGTAGCGCATCACTGTAGCACGTGGTCAAAGTTTCCGTCACGTAGACCACATGTAAAATTTACTCCCAAATCCTTCTAGTTTGGTACTAAGGTTTTTCGTTTGAACCGCAATGCCTTCGTTGAGAAAAATAATACCTTTGTTTCAATTTCAATGCATTCATTGTTAAGCTCGTCACGATCGCTGTCAGTTACAGCCAGAGTGCCGCCAAGGGAGGGGCCTCGGGAAAGCCCGTGCCCCCCTCCGTGGACCTCCTCCTGGACTTCTCGTTTTTCACCACACATGACTCCAGACAGAAGGTCAAAAGCATTTAAGTTGAGTATAGACTTCGTTCGGGCTATGTGCGCTACTTGGGTGAAGGTAGACCTGGTGACTCGTCGACCGAGGCGTGCTGTGACGCCCTCACAGAAGCACTGACGACTTCTTGTTCACCAACTGGGCAAACACGCTGTCAACAACGACTCAAACACTCTCACACACCTAACCAAGCGCTTTGCCACGTTGGGACAGGTGCGGGTCTTCGGCTCCACCAGTGTATTTTTAGTGTGAATGAAAGCAGAACGTCGGCATAACAAAGATGTCGAGATAGCAAGGGGTCTGCCCATACTCAGTCGCGCTCTGCCTGTCGCACTAGCTATCGCACGGTGTCGGTCTCCTCGCCTGCAACATGGTCCAGTTCGCCGGATCCTACCAGTTCGTCTCTGCGGACAACGACGAGGCCCTACTGACGGCGCTGGGAGTAGCCGCGGCGAAGCGGAAGATAGTGCTGAACCTCAAGCCTGAGGTCAACGTCAGCGTAGACGGCGACCACTGGACCATCAGCACCGCTAGCGCCATCCACTCCAGCAAGCGCGAGTTTGACCTGGGTCAGCCACATCAGTTCACCGCGCAAGATGGCAGGGCGGTGACCGGAACGGTCACCAAGGAGGGCAACAAACTGGTTGAGACGCAGAGACACGAGCAAGGCCTGGACCTGGAGATCACGCGCGAGTTCACCGACTCGCAAATGATCATGACCAGCAAGGTCGGCGACGTCGTATCCGTGAGGGTACATCAGAGGAAGTAGGCGGGGAGCGGCGGCCACCGCTGCGGTTGCCAACTGGACGCAGCAGGCGAAAACATCGTCTGTAACTACCGCAATACATGCTGCAACATGAAGCAGCACCTGTTCTCTCTGGCTTCATTCCGAACAAGTGCATAGCTGTTCAAACTACAACCGCGAAAATGATGCGCACGTTGTGGTGCCTCCCGCTATAAATTTACATTCACGATTTGCAGCGTGCAAAATCGCCTTAACCTAGCAAAAACTTGCCCCTTCTTGTATTTTCTATAATTCGATTTTCTATTTTCTAGCTCTATTTTCCTGCATAAATCGGCGAAAATCTTAGATCTCAGCTTCAGTACCTGGAAACATCATCTTGATCCTTGTGCCACACCTCGCCGTATCTCCTCATACATTGACGGATAAGCATTTCTTTTATTTGAGTATTTACTCACTTATTTAAGTATTTACCAACTAAACAAACACTCAACTGCGATGTGGCTGTTTCATGCAGTCCATCACAGCCGAGGTGTGTAAATAGTACGACACACGAATTCATAGCTGTCATGTTATGGACGTACATGGTAAAAGACAAAATGTAACACAGCGCTGCGTTCCAATTGGTTCATCAACCGCTACAGCAATGGCATGCTGCTGTGGCGGAGTCACATCGCAGAACAGACCGGAGAAGTACCGCACCGGACCCGACGAGGGTAGAGGGTCGCCTCTGACTGTCAGCTGCCCTGCTCCAGTGTCAAGGTGCTTCCGTCTGCTGTCATTGTGTTGGTTTCTGCCGCATTCTTTCGTAAAACAGAAATACGTTTTCATAACATGCAATGACACTAATACCATCAGCATTGGCAAGTGACTGTTGCCACTTGATCAACGTTCACACCTGGCAGCAACTCACTCAGTTCAAAATCCGATTGGATTTTCAACCAATAACACCGTTTATGTTAGTCATCCGTTCTACCGCTCACGGCTGCTAAGCCACGCTGACCACCGGCGACTGCGGGTTGGCGCCTGGTGCTGTAACATCTTTTTCGACAGTTACCACACATCACGATTTCACAAACCATTCGAGTCGCCACGAATAAGCTGTCTATGGACATTTTGTGCATTTCATTCATTCCAAAATTGCCCAACGTCCATCTAAAACACCTGTTCCACATGACGTTCCACGCAGAGTCGAGACAAAGTGAGCTCAGGCATGGACGTAATCACACCGGCAATATTACGTTCGTCCTTTTCTGCTTTGGTGCCGTTTCATATGGTTGAACCGAAGTCCAGCCCATCCCCAGGCGTTACGAAGGCCCGGACTTCACCGATCACAGTGATAGTCGCACACATGTCTGGGCTCCTATTCTCGCGGCAAGTCATGACAAGATAACTGTTTATAGTAATTATACGCATTATAATTTTGAATTGAAAAGCACGACGTCGAGTATCAGTGCGCCCATCGTCACGTTCCAAGCGAACTGTGAGCGGATACATATGACATCTTTGAACCTTTTGTTAGTGATTCTGCCTGCATCAGTACCCGACCGCTTTTCATGTCGCCAGTACAAACTAGGGACAATTCTGGAGGCTGCGGCTCCTTTCAAATAAATACTGTAATATCAAGCAAGAAACAGGGCTGCTGGCTGCGATTGCTCGGCTGCGTTCACCGCGGCGAAGTTAAAGGTAAACTTTGTTCAAGAGCTATAAAACCTGATAATTTCACACCTTAATTCGATTCCAGCCTAAGGACTTCTGTGTCATGAAAATGTCCAACATCTGTCTTTCTAAGCCCGAAAGGCTATGTGAGTAAACTCTATATTTACCACGGCCAGTGGTCGGCAGCATATTTTCATCCGCATCCATACACAAGATTGTCTCTCCGCTAAATACCAAAGCACACCGCTTATCTCGCCGGAGCCAGCTGGCGCGCCGGGAGCGCAGACGGGCCTGGTCCGTCTGTGGGAGGCGCTCAGCGCACCGACGCACGTCTTCGGGACAATACCGGCGGCGAACATCACGCGATGTCGGGGGTGAGTTCACTGGACTCGCCGCTGTGCCCCCCCCCCCCCCTGATATACAGTGCCAATCGTTTTGAATGCCCCGACTGTTGATGCCCCTCAGCCTGTTGCTCTCTCCACTGCTCCAGCCCTCCAGGCGCACGCACAGGTCGGCTGGCTCCAGCACAAACCATGTCGCTGTCCATCTACTCCAGGTGGACAGAGCGGCACAGGCGGCCGGCTCCAGCACGCTCCGGCACAGTCGTCACGTCAGCGGATGTCCCACGGGTCGGCTCGCTCCAGCACAAACCACGTCGCTGTCCATCTACTCCAGGTGGACAGAGCGGCACAGGCGGCCGGCTCCAGTACGCTCCAGCGCGGGCGCCGCGTCAGCGGACGTCCCACGGGTCGTGTGCCAAACACACCAGGCGCTCGGCTTTCTAAAACACGCGGAGCGTGATGCGCGATGATGATGCTGTGATGACGCACTGGGCACAAAACACCGGTAAAGCTCACTGGCTTGTATATTCCACAGCGATATAATCATCCCGGAGTGGTCCACTGGAGACAACGTTGCACACATCTCTCCCAGGGAAAACGAACTTGACTCATGCGAACCGGGTGTCAAACGATCGTTCAAGCTCATGTTCTCGGGGCCCGGACAGCTCGCCGCACGGCCGCACAGGCCGGACACGAGCCCGGCAACACGGCCACTCCGGGTCCGTGCGGCCCAGTATGGGGTTAGATGGTAACTGTGGCATGCGACCGCCGACACGCGCGCAGGAGTCGGGCATAACCGTTCTCACGAATGAATATTGCGCGAAATGATTACAAAAAGTCGATACGTTTGAAGGATTCCTCATAGGCATATTTAGTGGCTTCTCTCTATTTATATCTAACTGCTTTTTGGCGTTGTTCCAAATACGTCGCCGTTTAGCTTAAACTGGAGACCTGTGCTTGTAGAACTAATTCCTCTAAAACGCCCTTCCTCTAAAAGAGTGTTAACACCGGCAAATCTGTCACAGCATCTTTCGCCTGTTCGCCTGTCACACTCTCCCCTCGTACGTGCTCTTTTTCGACATATTTCACAATTGTAAACAACTCGCACACAACTCATTCGTGAAAACGCCTGATGCTCATGCCCGTCACGCACTTGTGCTTCATATATAATTCACAATTCACTTGCAATTGCCAAAATGCTGAGTGATCTGGACACGTGGCGTTGCCTGTATGCAGCCTCCTGGCAGAGGATGCGTGAACCAAGTCAACACAAACAAGCCCTTTAGAGCGGATCGCTGCCGACGTCGGAGCCACACAGCTCGCCCTGTTGAATAACACAGTGACAAGGGGAGCGTCGGCCCTGCCCAGTGGTGCCGGGCACCTAAACAGAGAATACACACTCGCGCACCATAAGACCGCCGCATCACCACGTACAAGATACGCAGCGTACTTTCAGATCACAAGAACTTCCACAGCACAGTGAGACAAGCCAGCGGGTGCTTTCAGACCTGGCGTCCCGATAGACGGTAACCCCCGGCCCGGCGCCGCCGGCCGGGCCGGGGGTCGGGCGCAGCCCCGCCACGGCTGGCGGCGGGCTCGGTCTCCCTCCCGACAGGGGCGGCCGCCGGCACTGCCGACACCGCTGCCCACGGCGACAGCCACGACACACACCACGCCTGCGGAATGAGTCCGGACCCCTGCCCTCTGCCACGGGACCCGACCCAAGCCGCCGGCAGCGGCGACCGACGGCACACGCATTATACGAGCGGAGCGCTGCCAAACCCGTCACCTCACACCTAAAGCGGAGACTGCGAGCAGCACTAGCCTCCGACTCAGCCAACTCGGCCGGCTCCCTGGCGCGCACCATCCGGCGTCCGGCCGGCGTGGAGAGCGCGGCGTGCCCGACCGAGCACCGTCGCGCCGGCCCACGCGCCGCGCGTGGGCCGGCTGCGACCAGCGCACTCGGCCCCGCCCCGGACGCCGTCGGCACGTCTGTCTCTGACCGGGCCGGCAGCGCTGGCTGGTCAGCACTCAGTCTTGTGGAGGGCGCTGTCGGCGCGGCAGCGCTCCTGACGCTGCCAGCCCTCCAGGCCGCGCACGGCCGACAGCAGCTGCATGTCTGTCTCTGTCTGGACCGGCAGCGCTGGCCGGTCAGCACTCGGTCTTGCGGAGGGCGCTGTCGGCGCGGCGGCGCTCCTGACGCTGCCAGCCCTCCAGGCCGCGCACGGCCGACAGCAGCTGCATGCTGGCCTCCTGCAGCGCCGCGCAGGCCGCGCACAGCGCCGTGGTGGGGCTGAGCGAGACGACAGCTGCCGACAGCGGCCAATAAGTCAGGCGTCCGGACAACGCTGGCCAGACGCAGCCCGGCGCGACAGGGTCGTGTGGCGCACACCGACAGCGGGACGGTCACCAGTCAGGTAGACAACAGTCCAGGAAGACTGCGGCCCAGGGACGACGACACGGCGACCGCACAGCAGGGGACCACAGATGAGCGGCGAGTTTGGGCCAGCCCGACACGAGTAGGCTGAGATGGTGCTCGTCAAGGGCAGAGCGGGCGGGACCCGCGGGCCTGCGACCACACGAGCCGCTGACCAGCGATTGCAGGTCAGGAGACTACATGCTGGGGAGCCCTGGGTCAGAGTGCCGCGGGTACGGATCCAGAGACGGCTGATCGTGGGTCGGCCATCCACAGGCCACGTAACCATGCCACAACGGCCTGGAACCCGGTGGATGATCGCGGTTCAGGGATATTTAAACTACTGGACCACGGCTGGTCCAGCTGATCACTACTATGGCTGATCACTACTGACAACATTATCAGACATAGGAGCGCCCAAGCCAGCTGACCACGGGTATCGGTGGATGATCGCAGATCAATGAGTCATTGATCAGCGACATACACACAAACAGTCACAAAACAGGAGGGTCACAACCACCGACCGTAGCCAACGGGTAGGGACTCCTGGCAAACGAGAGACGAGAGCACGTCCAGGTATACTGACAGAGGATCCCGCGCGCAATTGAACGCCACCTTTCCGACTTGCAGCCATCGCGCTCGAGCGCCCGGCTCGGACAGCACCGGCGGCCGGCAGCGGCACTCACGCTGCGCCTCGGAGCGGATGTGGCAGAAGAGGTCGATCACGGTGGAGACGTCGTCAGCCTCGTGCGTCAGCTCGGCCGGGAACTGGCCCCTGACGGACGGAGCCCGGCGGCACGCCGACGGTGAGCAGAGGACGCGGAACGGCTCGCACACACGCCCCGCACCAACACACCAATCCGGCCATAAACTGGCCTCACTCATACTTCTAAACGAACGTGCTTGCGTGCATTAGGGGAACGTAGGAGAGGAAACCCCTTATGGACCGCGTTTAAAAATAATTTGTAAGAATAATCGTGTAATATTCACACCAGTAAAACGTGTTACCATCCGATAATCTCCACCACGACAACAATCAACATAAGTCGGCATAAAGGGGTTCCCCTTCCAGCAAAGACGAGTTCCAAAGTTGCGTGGTTGCATTGTTTTCCTGCAGAGTTGTTGCCAGTTGCCAATCCCATTTACTATTCTAGTTGCTTTTCGCTGTACTCTTTCCAGCCTGTCTTTATCTTTTTGGAAGCATGAGGACCAATCCTGTACACAATACCTGGGTGTGGCCTGACATAAGCTAAGTACAACCTTTTGATAACATCCCTTTTCTTGTAATGGGCATTGCTGTTAAGAAGTCGCAGCATCTTAAGTGCCGTGCTCCTAACAATCCCACGTCGCTTTTTCAGCCATTAAGTCCCTTGTAGATGTTCACGGATCACAACCAATGAAACTGTGGGCGCTTGACTATTTCTACGACACCAAGGCACCAAGTTTTACAGCGGCAAGTTTCAAACCCGGATACTGAACCAGTTCATGCGTGTAAGCGTCACCGATTTTATTGGGACGATGTTGCGCCGCCTCGGCCGCCGCTCTCCCGCCCTGAGCGGCGCCGCGCCATGCCGGGCGCTCGGCGCTCGGCGGTGGCCGCCGCTCACCTGTGTGCCCTGTAGAAGCGCACGGCGGCAGTCAGCTGCTCGCCGTTCAGCAGCTCCAGCAGGCGGGCGCGCGCCTCCTGCGGCGAGGAGACGGCTCCGGCCAGCTCGTGCTCCAGCTCCTGCTCCTGCTCCGTCTGTAGCTGGAGCTGGCCCAGCGCGTACCGCAGCTGGGTCACCTCCGACGTCAGGTCCACCACATCCTGCGGCGGGAGGGCGACGCCCACTCAGTCCACCGCCGCCGGCGCGTCGGAGACAGCGGCCGGCTCCGCGACGACACGATCCAGGGTGGGACCACACGGCGGCGGCGGCGGCGGCGCAGACATCCGACGCCCAGGCACAAGTGGCAGCACAAGCGCTCCCAACGGGGGCTGAGCGATGGGTTGGAGGCGATGTGGTGAAGGAACCCAGTTTCCGTAGCCAAACGGAAGAGGAAGAACATCATGTTTAACTAGCTCCGTTTCAACCGGACTTGAATGCTCAGCCAGACCACCTGTTGCATGACACGCGGGTGGAACCGGACACATTTGTGGGGGACGTCGCCGCGTGGAGCGGACGCCCACCTGCGCGTCCACGCTGATGAGGCTGAGCGTCTTGGCGAATCCCTCCATCAGCAGCAGCAGCTGGAAGTGTAGCTTATACAGGGTGCGGCACAGCTCCATGTAAGTCTCGTCCAGCGGTCCACCGCTGTCCAGCGAGCCATGCAGAGGCACCGTGGTCCGCACCACGTCCAGACACTGGGGCAGAGCACAAACCTCAAGTCCAAACACTGAGACAGGGCACACACGTCAAGTCCACATACTGGGGCAGAGCACACACGTCACGTCCACATACTGGGGCAGATCATACACGTCACGTCCACATACTGGGGCAGAGCACAGACGTCACGTCCAGACACTGGGGCAAAGCACACACGTCACGTCCACATACTGGGGCAGAGCACACACGTCACGTCCACATACTCGGGCAGAGCACACACGTCACGTCCATATACTCGGGCAGAGCACACACGTCACGTCCAGACACTGGGCAAAGCACACGCGTCACGTTCGGATACTGCGACAGAGCACACGCGTCACGTCCAAACACTGAGACAGAGCACGCACGTGACGTCCAGACACTGGAGCAGAGCAGACAGACAGTTTTTAGTCGGCGAAACAGAACAGCACCACTCCAGACACTGAGGCAGACCATGCACGCCCTGCCTATGTGGCACGGCCCGTAAGTCCAAACGCTGTGACAGACCATAAGGACTTTGTCCACCTGCTGCATAATCGCACATTGACACGCAAACACTGGTACGTACTGCCTGGTGTCAACCAGTACGCTCTCACCGGCAGCGGACATATGCTGACTGGCAATGTCGGATACATAACGGCTGACATATGCCCATATGAATATACTGACCAGCAGAAAATGCTCCAAACTATCTGGCATGAGCTGATATGCAATGATTAGTAACAACTGCTATGTACTGATAGGCGACAGCTGGTGTATACTGACCGGCAGCAGCTGGTGCATACTGACCAGCAGCAGCTGGTGTGCACTGACCAGCAGCAGCTGCTGCATACTGACCAGCAGCAGCTGGTGTACACTGACCAGCAGCAGGTGGTGTGTACTGACTAGCAGCAGCTGGTGTATACTGACCAGCAGCAGCTGGTGCACACTGACCAGCAGCAGCTGGTGCACAATGACCAGCAGCAGCTGGTGAATACTGACCCGCAGCAGTTGGTCGCGTCGCTGCTGGTAGCCCTCTAGGTGTTCCTGCAGTTCGAGGAAGGTGAAGCGCAGGCGCGGCAGCACGCCCAGCGTCGAGAGCAGCTGGCCGCTGGCGTACACGTGCGGCAGTCGCAGCTCGCGCAGCGTCGACACCACCGTCTGCTGGGGCGGTGGGGAGCGGCGGCCGTCAGACGGGTCAGGCCCCGCTGCCCGGTGGGCTGACACCTGAACACGCCACCTCCAACCGGGCCGCTTCGCCTACTCCGTGCGGATCTGCCGTTAATATCCTATTGTAGCCCACACGGCATTCTTCCAAAGCCGTTTAATCAGGGGGATGATAGGATAGTCACTGCCTAAGTAGGCGCATCGGCTGACGCAGCAGGGATGCACAGCATATTACCGTACAGGCCTGCAGAGGGCGGCCACGGCCCTGCCTGTCAGCGCCGGCCGGGGAAGCGGGCGCACGCACCTGCAGCACGCGACAGAGCGGCCGTGCCGCCTCCAGCGCCGCCAGCTGCTGGCAGCTCTCCTCGGCCGCCAGCACGAACGATAGTTGCATGTCGGCCAGCAGCTTGCAGAGCAGCAGCACGGCCGAGGCGGCGACGGCCGGTGGCGCGCCGTCCGACACGAGCGCCGACACCTGCCGGTGCCACTCCTGCTCCCTGTCCGTGTGGCGGACGCCGGCCGCCTCCTGCCGGCCGGTTGGCGGCGTCACGGTCGCCCACTGCCACTAACCGGCGCACCGGGCACCGACTGACCCAGTCAGCAGCATCGCGCTGCACGCCACCACTGCCCGCGGACACGGCGACAGCGGCCGCAGGTCACAAGCGGGAGCGCGAACAATGGAGCCTGCAAGCTTAAAGGCGGTGTGCCATAGTTGTATGACGTTTGAACTGAAATGGTCCGGTTCAAAGGCCATTCAGTGCAGTTCATAAATCGGACCTTCTTAAAATATAAAACACTATTTTCCGAGTTTCCCGCCCGCAAAGACGCGCAGACGACTTCGTGCAGACTATTTTCAGGCACAACGGACTTCAATTAGCTCTCAACAAATGTTGTGCAGGTAGCGCAAGATTCGAACATCAAACACGTTTAGTCCTATACAATACAATAAGTTTCGCAGCACCTCTAACGTCACACAAACGTTCCACGGCGCATTCACACAAAGACGCATTGAGGAGCACATTTACTAAACGTAGAAATTTTGTTGTCTTAAGCAGCCTTCCAGTTAAAAGTATACCAATAGCTATAAGTGAGCTTATCTCATAACAATGATGTTTGTTTCAATACCTTCAAATGTGAAACATTGCCTTTAAGTACAGTGCTGGGATAAAATTAATTCTTCGCGGGAAACGCCACTAGAGATGACGCCGAAACGGCCGGCCACCCTGCTTGGTTGTGACGATCTGCCGGTTTCTGCAGCGAATTGTCACATCGAGAAAATTGCAGCCAATATGTGTGCAATGCCCCAACAATGCTGGGGAGTGGTAACAGACCAACGGCCACGCTTTGTGCACATTGATACGGTAATTGAGACCCCACATTGCCCCTTCTACACCTACGTCCACACTTTTCCACTGGTATATTTCCAAAACAAAGTGGCATTTGTTCTAGCACGATTTTGAAAATGACTTTCGGCTGGCTTACCGGAGCAGAAATAGTGCCGGTCCTGTCTCCTTTGCATCGGCCCACCTAACCCTAACACCGACGTAACTTACTGCCCCAGCAATGGTACGCGACAGAGGCACCAGCCTTTGAAAGGGCTCGCACCGATGTCACAACTTCGCACAGCTTATGGAGCGTAAGGAGCAGCCAAAATCACCGACACCTGGACCCCGCATCGGATCACACAAGGCCCGTGCCACCCACTCCCCCCGGCTGCCACGCCCCCGCGCCCGCAGCCGCCGCGCGGCCCCGCCGACTCACCGCGAAGTCGGCCAGCAGGTGGCCGAAGCGCGGCGAGGCGTTGCAGGGCGTCAGGTCGGCGGCGTTGTCGTGGCTGCCATCGCTGGGCGTGCTGGACGACTGGGAAGAGCCGGACGAGCGGCGCTCGCGCGCCAGCAGACTGCCGGTGAGCGTCACGCCCGTCACGCCCGTCACGCCCGTCACGCCCCGCCCCCTCCGCCCGCCGGCCGGTGCTCGGGACGCCGCCGGCCCGGACCGCGGCGGCGACCGAGCGCCGCCAAGCCATGAGGCCCCAGCCGGGCAGTCCACCCACTCTCGGCCTATTTATGGCACAACGCGGCCGTATGTTGTATTCAGCACGCGCTGAGCGCGACACACGAGCAGTGCATACCGACCAGCGGCCACATTCACCGCGGCAAGCCCCACCAATGTGCCAATTTTGCGCCGTGCTGTGCGGTTAATCAAGCGAAATAATCGAGTATGAAACCAACCTTTTCGCAAATTTTCAGCATGCTACACGACAGAGGTAGGTCTGCGGAATATTTCAACAGACCAATGTACGACGGAGTTGCTACGGTCCGCATTCTAGCCGAACAAGAGCGCGTTATGTATCTAGACCCGTCACACGTAGCCGCACGGTGGCTGAAGCAAAATATACGGGAAAAGAGCATCAGCACCAACAGGCAGTCATCGACGATCCGCTTTCATCTTGTTTTGGCACGCGACCCGGCCCGATCCTAATGTCACATCGTCTCGACCATGACCAGGACAAACTTCTGGTCTGTCCCAGAACTACATGTGACGGGCCCGACCCACAGGCGCCTGGTGTGATAAAGACCGGCCCACAGGCGTCTGGTGCGATGGAATGCGGCCCACACGCGCCCCACCTGTCCGGTGCGAAGATGGTGGCACCGGCAACCGATGAGGCCGACTCGAACGAGGCCACGTCGTCCAGCGGGGACACGCTGCCGCCGTCATCGTCCGACGACTCGTCATGCAGCACCGTCTGCCGACAGCAGGCCGGAGCCCCACGACGGTCAGGGCCAGGGTCAGGGCCGGCACCGGGTCAGATCAAGGTCAGGCCAGCAGCCAGGAGAGGGTCACGATGGGAGCGACGTCAGGGCCAGGGTCAGGGCCAGGGCCGGCACCAGGTCAGATCGAGGTCAGGCCAGCAGCCAGGACAGGGTCACGGTAGAAGCGACGTCAGGGCCAGGGTCAGGGCCGGCACCGGGTCAGATCGAGGTCAGGCCAGCAGCCAGGACAGGGTCACGGTAGGAGCGACGTCAGGGCCAGGGTCAGGGCCAGGGCCGGCACCGGGTCAGATCAAGGTCAGGCCAGCAGCCAGGACAGGGTCACGGTAGGAGCGGCGTCAGGGCCAGGGCCAGGGGCCGGCACCGGATCAGATCGAGGTCAGGCCAGCAGCCAGGACAGGGTCACGGTAGGAGCAACGTCAGGGCCAGGGTCAGGGCCAGGGCCGGCACCGGGTCAGATCAAGGTCAGGCCAGCAGCCAGGACAGGGTCACGGTAGGAGCGGCGTCAGGGCCAGGGCCAGGGCCGGCACCGGATCAGATCGAGGTCAGGCCAGCAGCCAGGACAGGGTCATGGTAGGAGCGACGTCAGGGCCAGGGTCAGAATCAAACCACGGCAGATCAGGTCTGGAGTCAAGTCAGGGTAACCTGTGGAGCTGGATCAGAATCAGGACCGAAGCCGGAGGGAGGTCAGGACCAGGATAGGAGCTGTGTACGAGCCAGTCAGGAACAGCGGCGCGCCAGGGTCCGGGAGTGGCGGGGCGGGGCGGGGCGGGCAGTCAGCCACGCTGGATGCAAACCGAGCTATACCCATTCATCTACCTACGAACGGAACAGACCGAACCAAAATGTCCCTCTTGAGCGACCATCCGACCAATGAACCGGAACCGCTGAAGGGCGCTCCAACCAAACAAGATGCGACCAAGGCACGGCCAGTAATTGGCACCGCGCATCCCTGTCGGCACACTTAGTGGTGGTAGTGCTGGTACTAGATGGCTAACGATATTACATAACTAACCCTAAACCGTAGCACTAACCATCGTAAGCACCAGTTACACATACAAGTTTCACCTCAGCACTCCAGTGGCAATAATCGACAAAATGCGCTTATTCAATCTATCACAGACGCCGCAGCACCACAAAGCGTCTAAAATCAAACAGCTTGTCCAGACTGCCACATGCCAACTGCTTCTGTGACAAGCCGCACAAGCGGCGGCCGCCAGCTGGCAGCCCGAGCGTGCGGACACGGCGCGCCTGTGGGGCCGGACGACGGCGGAGTCATGCTCACCTTGCCCGGCACCAGGTGGCGCGGCGAGAGCAGCGACGAGTCAGCCGGCGGCGCGGCCGCCTCCTCCGGCTCCAGGTTCCCCAGCGAGCGGCGCCGCACGCCCCAGTTAAAGTTGTCCAGACTCTCGCCCTGCCGGGTCAGTCAGGTCAGCAGTGGCAGGCGTACGGCAGACGGTTTAGAGCACGACAACCACAACATGGTTCGCGCACACACAGTGAAAAGCGTGAAACGTCTGCCAGCTATTACCAATCCCGCAACCTTGCTAGACCACCACGGGCTCCGCCCGCGCACATACCAAGCCGCTGGTATCATACAGGCAACCATCGCCCGCTCCACTACGTCGACACTAAATGTCACCAGGACGACAGGTTACACTCTTACCCGGGCGGACGGGACGGCAAGTCACACCCTTACGGCATTCGCCCTCATTTTCGTTACACAGCATGCCATCCTCCTATGAACAACGTCCTGCCAATACCGTCAGCAGACCAGCACTATCCCTATCGCTGCGCCTGAAAACCCGACAGCGCACACTCTCTCAGTCTCCAAACGCAGAGGCGTGACATCAACGTATGGTCCGTCACGACGAACGAAATGCCACCACCGACAACTGCGCCTTCGATACTGCGCATAAATCGTATACTTCTCGGCCCTGTTTAAAGAAAGGGAGGCCAATACAGATGTGACGCAAGCGAGTCTCTGGGTCAACTGACGCCTTCAGCGGGGGCCAGCTGGGCTGGTCGCCCGCTCGGGCTGCGCGCCAGGCCTGTCGTTGGGCCAGCGTTTGGTATGCCGCCGAACGCACCCTTGGCTGATAAACCACCACGCCCATGGTCCACCAAAGCATGGCTGTACCACCTGCTGTCGCCACACGCCGTGAGGCTGCATCGGTAGCAGTGACTTCCAACGTATCTCAGTTTTGCAATGCTTTGTCCAGGTACATGCGACGAACTATGCAGTTGTTTCATAGTCAAACGCAGGTGTCAGGCGAACAAACAAATATCAGACCTTCATAAACGTGCCCAAAAGAGACGTCGACGTCTTTGAGTACGGTGGTGTGACGGTGTGAGTAGGCACGGTGCGAAAAGTGCTTGATGGTGGCCTGATTGGAAGTCAAGCATTGCAGGATGACAACCGCATACGCTTACTGCCACAGAAGAGTCAGAGAGTTGGGCCTGGGCCACGTTTGAACCAGCATTAGTGTCGTGTGCATCGGCGCACTCGATATATTATCGGTGTCAAACCACTTACAGTTCTTCTCTCGCAGAAGACCACCAAGAGTAATTATGCGATCCAATTGACATTTGCGACCCTGACGGCAGTCGTGACGGGGCCGAGGTGAATCGTTCAGAAAGGTCAGACCATGAGAGCTCCCCAGCGCCGGCGGCGGCACGGCGCGATTGCCTGCTGCCGCCGGAGCCGCGGCTCAGCTGCAGCCCTGCTGCCACCGGAGCTGCGGTCCGGCTGCACCTGCTGCCGCAGGAGCCGCGGTCCGACCGCAGTCCTGCTGCCGTGCCTCGGGACCCGTCCGTTGCCGCACGGCGCGCCGTCCCGTGCCTCCGAGATCTGACCCCGGCGGCTCAGCCATCGAAGCGACGTTCGAGAAATTCCAACGATATTTTTCCACCTACTCGAGACCGTGAACGGGCGACTGTGAGTGGCGCCGCCCCGATCCCTGACGACACTGAGCCACATATGTCAGCCACACGACCGCACGAGAACCACATTGCGTTCGAAATGGCAACCATAAACCAAAACTATTCCCCAACTAGCCGGGAGGTGGGGGTGGGGACCACGAGCTGGTGCGTCACACTTTTATATATGACGTCACGCCTTGATAAAAGACAGGAACTCACAGTTCCCACTCCGGCAACAGGTGTACCTAACGACAGCAATCAGCCGACCCAGCGGATTATAGGCGGCTGGCAACGGCCTTCACTAGCGACCATTGTCAACACGACAGCGAAACCCCTGAACTGGAGTCGCGGCTGTCAGTGGGAGACCATCGCCCATCCCGTGCTGATTGCGTTCGTCACGTGCACGCCGCTTCAGCCCATGAAAAAGCGACGGGAGGAGACACAGAGACCGCTCGCTGCCGCCGCCCGAGTCGTCCAGGTTGCGTCGTCCAGTCAGCGCTGCCACCCAGGTTGCCCGCCATGCGACTGTAGGCCCCGCGATCGACCAGCGGCCGCCTCAATACGAACGGAACCATGCGGCGGCCAAGATTAAAGCCTCTAAATCTTCGCTATTGTCGCAAACACGCCCGGTGACTCGCACACATCACGGTTGTCACATCACACAAACGCCACGGAATATTGGAGCGCGCGCCTCCACTGAAACAGATGACGCAATCCACCCAGGGAGCCCCGAATATCTGTCCCGCGTCCGCGTTCATCAAACGGCCACAGGAGTGGTGCGGTGGGCGTTCAAAGGTGACAAGCCGGCACACGGCAGGCCTGGCGACGGCGCCGCGGTCGACAGACGTCCAGTCTCACGGGGCGGCGGCGCCGAGCGTGACCCGTCTGAGCTCCGGTGTCACACGTGGCCAGGCGACGGCGCCGCGGTCGACAGACGTCCAGTCTCACGGGGCGGCGGCGCCGAGCGTGACCCGTCTGAGCTCCGGTGTCACACGGCAGGCCTGGCGACGGCGCCGCGGTCGACGGATGTCCAGTCTCACGGGGCGGCGGCGCCGAGCGTGATCCGTCTGAGCTCCGGTGTCACACGTGGCCAGGCGACGGCGCCGCGGTCGACGGATGTCCAGTCTCACGGGGCGGCGGCGCTGAGCGTGACCCGTCTGAGCTCCGGTGTCACACGCCAGGCCTGGCGGCGGCGCCGCGGTCGACGGATGTCCAGTCTCACGGGGCGGCGGCGCTGAGCGTGGCCCGTCTGAGCTCCGGTGTCACACGCCAGGCCTGGCGACGGCGCCGCGGTCGACGGATGTCCAGTCTCACGGGGCGGCGGCGCTGAGCGTGACCCGTCTGAGCTCCGGTGTCACACGCCAGGCCTGGCGACGGCGCCGCGGTCGACGGATGTCCAGTCTCACGGGGCGGCGGCGCTGAGCGTGGCCCGTCTGGGCTCCGGTGTCACACGTGGCCAGGCCGGCTGCCCGGGCCGCACCTCCGTCCGCCGCGCTATAGCGCGCCCGCCAGCCAGACCAGACGTCACGAAAGCCAACAGTTCGGCGCCTAGCTCCCCGGGCTGGTACAGTGCCGCCCCGAACGGTAGCAGTCGGCATTCAACAGTGGCAAACTATTGGCTTTCTGTACTTGTTCGTTTTCGGCAAATAATGGCCTGCCTCCCGTGTCAAACCCTGTCAGATTGGTCATGTGCCACAAATACTTGCCCCCCAAAACTGGACAGTAAACATCTGAGAGCCTCGTAAGCGGTGCTACCCTACGCGTAGACTCCCACCGCAAAGTCTACTTTAATCCAAGGGTACGATTAGTTTACTTCCCTGATTGGTCACCATCGGGTGGTAAGCTCACATTTACAGATGCGGTAACAGATGGGTGAACACGCAGCCAATACAAGCTATGCACCAAATGTACGGAATACAAATTTAGCGTGTTGTTGTTTGCTGACTGACGCTCAATACGGCTTGCTGGTTTTCAGACAAGCTAACCGGTCACGTCACCAGCTGATGGCTAGTGCAGGGTGTCAGGATCGAGTGTACTTTTGGGTGATGAGAAGAAACATCGCCATTTTATGAGCTCTTATGGAAAGTCTTCCTCAATTCATTCAAAGGTCCCGGGAACAAACTAATTTCCCACGGCTTGTCAGGCCTTGGAAATATATCGAGGTCATTCCGGACAACCAGTTTGGTTTGCACCTCGCCACCGGGTAAATTATATACGCTGGGAAAATAACTGCTAAATCATACAAACAGTAATTTGACCTACGACAAACAGCTAGTTGCTTTATATTCCGTTGTTTCGCCGTATACTTACCGATCTTAAAACTTCTGCGCTACATCTTGCGAATTTTCAATGGGATGAAAACGCTATGTACGCGTCTAAGTCGCACGCAACAGCTGACGTGTGACGCATGAAAAGTAAAACTTATGTGATCCATCAAGCACCTGTAGGAATCTGAAATCGTTACCGAAATGCAAGTGGACAATATTCAAACATCCCATATCCACGGCTCGAGCCTGTGCGCAGACACACCCGCGACACGGCCCGCCGAATCTGGCAGGTCGTTTTGCCGCCCGCCGTGCCCACGCGATCGATCGCCGGCTGCCCTGCGAGCTGGAGACCACCTCCAGCTAAATCTCCACTGAGCGGAACAATGGCCTTGTAAAATACAGTGAGACACAGTCCAGCACGAGCGCGGCCGAGTGTAGCGCGCTTACCTCCTGGCTCTCCAGCTCGTACTCGAGGAAATCGAACTCGCGGATGACGCCGAACTGCTGCGCCTCGTGCTCGTCCAGCGACTCGGCCGACTCGTGCGGCACGCCGGACACCTCCTCCGTCGACGAGGCCATCGACGACTGGCGCTCCAGCATGTCCGACGTCTGGCTGAAGATCACCTGCGCGCCACACGGCATCATGATTATCATCCATGGATGCCCTTCCGCAAGTTACGCCGTGGTCACAGTCAGCAGCTTGTCACGTGTCACAAACGACAGGTTTCGTTACATCGATACGTTAGATGAAAAAATCATACTGGCCATGTTCAGCGAAAGCCCCCCTGCCTCCCCCCCCCCCCCCCCACACCCGCTGGTCACTCCCACTCACCGACGGACTCTTGGGCAGGCCGACTCGCGTGCCGCAGCTGATGAGCAGGTTCAGCAGGCGGTCGCGCGTGCGACTCTGTAACCGGGCCGAATTCGGTGAGCATCGGGCGACACGGCCGTCGGCGTACGGGTCCCAGCGGCAGCGTCAACAACGGGCCACGCGGCACACAGAGCGAGCCACACCCAGCCAGTCCAGCCTCGCACCGCCTCACCATCTGGCTCCAGATCTGACCGGGACGTCTCCCCAGCACAGCACGCTGCACTACAGCAACAAGCAACGGTAACTCAGACAGGGCACCCGGGCTCCAGCAGTCACAAACCCCAGCACGCCCCAGAGGCGCCGAGCGGCGGCGGACGTCGGTCCGCCACTGTCGGCGGCGAGCCCGGCCGCGGCGCGGCACCCAGCCCGACCTGGGACAGCCAGGGCCGCTTCCAGCCGCCGCTGGTCACGTCCGCCAGCAGGGTGGAGACGGAGCGGCGAGGGGACGCGCTCTCCTCCTTGGCGGCCGGCTCGGCGCTCGGCTTGGTCACGCGTCGTCCTATGATGGGCGTCTGAGACACGTCGAACGTGAACTCCATGGTGCGGCCTGCGGGCGCGGCCGGCACGAGCGTCACTGCGGGAGGTCCCGGCCGCTGACGTGGCGCTCAGCCGGGGGACACGCGCGTCACCGAGCGCTGTCAGATGGCAGACACTCTGCCGACTCCCCCCGATCCCGTCTGAGGCGGGTGGCAGACACTGCCGACCCCCCTGATCCCGTCTGAGGCGGGTGGCAGACACTCTGCCGACTCCCCCGACCCCGTCTGAGGCGGGTGGCAGACACTCTACCAACTCCCCCCGATCCCGTCTGAGGCGGGTGGCAGACACTCTGTCGACTCCCCCCGATCCCGTCTGAGGCGGGTGGCAGACACTCTACCAACTCCCCCCGATCCCGTCTGAGGCGGGTGGCAGACACTCTGTCGACTCCCCCCGATCCCGTCTGAGGCGGGTGGCAGACACTCTGTCGACTCCCCCCGATCCCGTCTGAGGCGGGTAGCACACACTCTGCCGAGTCCCCCGATCCCGTCTGAGGCGGGTGGCAGACACTCTACCAACTCCCCCCGATCCCGTCTGAGGCGGGTGGCAGACACTCTGTCGACTCCCCCCGATCCCGTCTGAGGCGGGTTAGCACACACTCTGCCGAGTCCCCCGATCCCGTCTGAGGCGGGTGGCAGACACTCTACCAACTCCCCCCGATCCCGTCTGAGGCGGGTAGCACACACTCTGCCGAGTCCCCCGATCCCGTCTGAGGCGGGTAGCACACACTCTGCCGAGTCCCCCGATCCCGGCTGAGGCGGGTGGCAGACACTCTGCTAACTCCCCCCGATCCCGTCTGAGGCGGGTGGCAGACACTTTACCGACTGCCCCACTCCAGTCTGTGGCGGGCTGAACGTACAGCCCCGCGGCCACCCGTGGCAATGACGTCCCCTCGGCGGTGCAATCTGTCTTGACTGAAGACACAACTTGACACAACTGAAGCCTTGTGGTGCGGCCAATGTAGAGCAGCAACAACGCACATACCATTGCAGCTCAACCCAAACGCAAGCCGAGCTGCCCAAATGCAGTCTCCTCGCTACGGGCGTCTCGCAGCGGCGGTCCCACAGAACAGACAGGATGGTTTAGCCTCATGACAGACATAACACTGGTCCCAACGCGTTCCCACGAACAACGCGAACGCAATCTCAGTGCTGCGAACAATGTGCGTTTCCTCGGCATACGCTAGCGCCATTTACTGGAATCAGAAATACGCATCGTCAGCGTAGTGGACAACGGTGTCGTCCTGGGATGCATACATGACTTGGGTTAAAAAGAACTATGCAGTGAGCAATATGCTGCTCTACAATATACTCCGTGCCTACGTAACCTGCAAAGATGATTTAAATGCTCGCCAGGACCTGAGCCTGTTCCGAGGGACTCGACCGGGCGCCCGTTGAACCGTGCGTTGTTCCGGCTCAGCCTTCATCAGACCTATCACCTTTCCAACCGCAGTAAGACCACTGACTGTAGTTAACCCGTACATGAACTGGTCATCGGTCACTCGAATGTCCGGTCATTGGTATCTATGATGGACCCCGTGCTCCATACTCTTGGCGAGCAAAACCTTGGCATATGTGTGCCACTGAGACGTGGCTATCAGTTCTTGCCACGGACAAAATACTGGCATTCCCCGGTTATAGACTGGTGCATCGAGACCGCCCCGTTGAGACCCGAGGTGGTAGTGTTGCCATCGTGTGTCGGGAAAACCTCGCTATAAGCCTTCTTCCAATTACGAGCACCGAATGTGCCTACGAGTTGTTCTGGGTGCCGATCTCGGGCGGGGACACCGTTCTCTTGCTGTCATCATTGTGTTGACGTCATCTAACGTCCACCATCTCAGCCGGTACCAGACGGTTTGGCTGACTTATATAACCAACTAAGTGCTGCTGTGAGCCTGGGCAAGGCGGCCTTCTGCCTGGCTGATGTATATACATACATACATACATACATACATACATACACATACACACCCACACACACACACCCACACACCCACACCCACACCCACACGCACACCCACACACACACATATATATATATATATATATATATATATATATATATATATATATATGTATACATAGACCTATATATGTATACATAGACCTTTTAGAGGCGGACGGTCCTGGTGTGCGTCGTTTCAGCCCTGTTTTGAAAGACCTTAGCCTGTTGCAACTCATCAAGACACCTACGCACGTGGACCCGACCGAGACTCTCTTATATCACATCATCAACAGTCCTGACTAGGAGCCAACTGACCAGATGTTGACTGAGATGATCGCCGACCATCTGATCATCATTGTCCGCGGCGTGCCAGGTATTTACACTACATTTTCCATGTCTGACGAATGATAAAGTCGACTGATCCTGGTCGAAGACATTTATCGACGTTAGGCCAGGCCACTGAGTTGCAAAGTTATCACCGGGGGCTTACACAGCAATATTTCCCTCCACATGCAGCAATGCGTAGTTTTCTTTCTTGTTTTGAACTGATCTGAAGGGAAGGCTTTCTTCAGTCCTCTGCCGAATCACGAAAAGCTTTCAGGCGCCCAAAAGAAGGCACTAAACTTTGCGGCGCATGGGGATTGACGACACCGTTTCCGCCACCAAGACACACAGTCCTCGGAGTGTGTGTCTATAAACAAACTCTGCGGCGACGTAAAGAAGCTTTGCAACGCGGCACCTTTGGTAATCTGCTTGCGTCTCAGCGTGGTAATTCCTCACCCACGTAAAAAGTTGCCGCGGAATGCTGCAGCCACCACTACGGCGCCACATCATCTACGACTCGTTGCTGCTCTTGGGCGCGTGGCCAAATGTACCCGACGACTGTTATCACTCGCACACGACTTGCCACCGCACCGCAACATCGCTTGCCACCGGCGTCGGCGGCTAGAGGCGAGCAGGTGCAGCGGCCACCACCAGGGTCGGCTCACAGCGACCGGGTTCGGATCTCACCAGGCAGCTCTTTCTTGGCCACCAGCTCGGCCTCGACGAACGACACGTGGATGCCGGAGCCGTCGGCGGCCTGCGCCAGGCCGCTGGTCGGCGCCGCCGCCAGCGTCGAGCATTGGGTCACAGCCAGCTTGAGAATACGCAGCGCTTCGCGCCAGTGTTGCCCCTGCTGGTAGAGCAGGCCACGGTCACGGCACGGCCTTGGCGGCGCGTCCAGTGACAGGTCAGGGTCAAAACAAGACGCTGACAGAAACAGCCAGGACACGGGACTGACAGTGACATGGGTCAGGTACTCCAGTGATACGGGGCAGGTACTCCAGTGATACGGGTCAGGTACTCCAGTGATACGGGCCAGGTACTCCAGTGATACGGGTCAGGTACTCCAGTGATACGGGTCAGGTACTCCAGTGATACGGGCCAGGTACTCCAGTGACACGGGTCAGGTACTCCAGTGATACGGGTCAGGTACTCCAGTGACACGGGTCAGGGCCAGCACACAACCTGAGCAGTGACACAGATATCCTATCATCCATATCATCCAGGTTAAGATGTGGAACCGAAACCAGCTATTCGGACTCCATGCTGTTAGTGAGCCAGCGCGAGAACACTACGTCGGCACATCTCTGTGCCTGCTGCTCCACAAGGGCGCACGGGACATGTCCAAACATACGACCAATCTCCATATTATTAATGGGTGTCCAGCTAATTCAATTAAGTTTTGGTATCATCTCGCGTGACGACAAACTTCAGTGAGAACCTCACTTGGCCTTTGCTGAACCAAAAGGAAGTCTTACTGGTGATTACAATAACGACAACATAAAAATAGCGACGCAAGCGCAGGCTGCTGGCGGTAACATCAATGACACTGACAATGAGGGAGAGGGAAGGGGTTGAGGACGCTTTGCCCATTAGGTCAGTTTGCGTCAACCAGGATCCCCTTTCTCAGTTTATATCATTATCAGTCAATGCCGTGAATGGGAGAATGAGGTGAATACTGAGAAACAGGGACAACAGCCACCAATGAGGCGGGCAACGCGGTCCAGCCAGAGCTGACGAAACCGAGGCGGATGGAGAGACGTCGTTAGGCTGTTTCGGCGCCGCTGCCTATCCGGCGGCCAGAACGGCCGCCATCGAACGCCTAACGAGCCGCCCAGTTTGCCAATCTGAGCTGAGGCGGGCGGCGAGCTGGCCGCCGGCTGGTGGCGCGGAGAGTGCGACTGGCGCATCGTCGCCGGGCAGGCCGGCTGCCAACCTGCGCGTAACGGGCGATCGAGCGCAGCAGGTCGGCGTTGATGGGCTGGTTGGCCGTCTGGCCCAGGTCCATGTAGTGCAACAGGCAGTGCAGCACGTTCAGGATCGGCTGCTGCACGAACGGCGGCCCCTTCTCCAGCACCTGCGGCGGCGGAGGAGGGCCAGTCAGCCCAAACTACGGCCGGCCCGAGCGCTCAGCCCGACAGGCTGACTGGTTCTGTCCGCTCCGGCGCTCAGCCCCAATACGACAAGCCTGAGTACAGACGTCACACGGCTTACAATGCATGGTACTGCTGCTATTAGACCCAGCCTACGTCCGAGCCGGCTGTGAAGGACGCGCCGCAACCGGTGCCGCTGGCTGGGGCCGTCTGAGCCGGGTGTGAAGGACGAGCTACAACCGGCGCCGCTGGCTGCGGCCGTCCAAGCCGGCTGTGAAGGACGAGCTACAACCGGCGCCGCTGGCCGCGGTCGTCCGAGCCGGCTGCAAAGGACGAGCTACAACCGGCGCTGCTGGCTGTGGCCGTCCGAGCCGGCTGCAAAGGACGAGCTACAACCGGCGCTGCTGGCTGCGGCCGTCCGAGCCGGCTGCAAAGGACGAGCTACAACCGGCGCCGCTGGCTGTGGCCTCCGAGCCGGCTGCAAAGGACGAGCTACAACCGGCTGCGGCTCGTCGCCGGCCGGCGTCGCTGGCTGCGGCTGGCGACTGAGTGGCCCATCCGCACGACACGGACGACCGCCAGCCGCTCACGGCACGCCCGGCCAAACACTCGGGCGTCGCGGGCCTCCCCGGCCCGCGGACTCATTACTTGCTGGCCGGCGCCGGGCGCAATATCGCTGGCGAGACTCGCCTCCCACACCGACGGTCCGCTCCCGGATGCTACACCGATGATGCTACACGGGCGCCAGTCGAGGGGACGGGGACTCCCGGGACGCGTCCCTCCGCGGCGCCAGCCCGCCTCGCCCCACACTGGTGGGCATTGAGGCGACACGCTCCACACTCCAGACGAGCACGGCTCGGCGGCGGGGGAGGCCATGCCTGGCGGTGACGTCGGGGCGGTGACGTCACTTTATATCTTTCCGGCGGGGGAGCACCTCGATTCTCCTCTGAGCCCTCAATGAACATGGACAAAAGGGAGTATTGGGCCACGTCAACACAGAACATTCCCCGGAAATGCTGGTGCACTAGGTACCCGAAGACATCACAATTGATTCATGTTCATGTTGCACCAAGTAGCATCCTGTAGGTACCTTACAACTATCATTCCAACTCCTCTATATGTCAGGCCGGTCTGCAAATATTGATAGGTTTTTCGCAAGATACCACCTTGGTCAGGACAACGAAAAATGGACTGTAAAACGCGGCAGATTTTTAGCACAACGTGAATGGTTTTAAGGCACAGACTTTTAATGATACTTCACACTTCTTGCCACCAAGGTCCTATAACGAGTCTACCACAAACGTCACACTTGAAGAAAATGACACAAACACCACGTGCATTTCAGTCCTTCAGGTACTCACACCCCGCCATCCAATACACGGCACTGTAACTGTGCTGGGGGCTGCACGAGCATAGAAAGCTAAACCGAACGGGTTTGAAGACACGCACCGAACACAAACACAAGAAGAAACAAAGCGACGAATGTCGGTGTTCGCCAAAACGACCGTGCGAACTGTTTCTAAACGCACATCACGAAACAACGTGGTTCAAAAGGCATGTCAAGTTGCCCAAAAGCTAGGCACCAGAACGTTCACGTCCCAGGACAACGCGTGGATGCTCAACCTCTGGAGAAGGTAACGACTGTGCAATAAATCTTCGTACCCTGAGAAAAACGTGTTTTTTGCTGTTGCTAAAATCTCTACCGCGGTGTTCATAAAACGGGTCACGAACGTTAAGTTTCATTTCGCCTCCCCACACAAGCCTGCAAAGGCACCGGTTTCGGCCGGTGTGGGGGAGTAGCGTCCCCCCGGGTGCCAGCCTCGGTAACGGGTGGCCGGCACAAGCTGTTCGCTTCAGCGACCCGGCTGGGACGTGAGCTCCAGCTTCTTGTTCTGCCAGCTTCTTCACCATCACTCCCATCACCGTACAAAAAAATCCGCCCTTTCACCACTCTTCATCCTCGCTTTATCAGGAACCGTTCCCCCAATCGCCTCCGTCCCGGGTTGATCTGATGCTGGCGGCTGAGGGGCGCGCCGTGCGGGTCAGTCGCGACGCGCCCAACACTCCACTTTAGCCGGTATATCTGGGGGCGTGGAGAGGGGGACGGGGCATCACGCGGGCCAAGTGGCTTGTCGCCTGCGCTGCATGCCGGGTGCCCTTCGGTTTGGCAAAGCTTGGTCTCCGCCTGACTGCTCTCGACGGCTTACAGGGAATGTTTCACGTTTGCATGGGACATTGAACTAAAAAAGCCATCTTGAAGATCATCCCGTGCGGTTCGAAGCCCTACCCTTCTTTAGAGCTAAGCCACTCTAGTTTCTGAGCTACAGGTCCGCGAAGATGTGCAGACTATTTCGGGGTAACTATTTTAAGGTCACCCTGGCATCCATGGTGCTATACTAACGTGATGCAAATCTTGCCATTGCATTAGCCAACAGGTCATCAAGGCCAATACAAATAAAATTGTGGAGTCGCTGATGTCTGTCGTTCATGAGCACGACTTCCAGATATAACGGCCGTCAGTTGGCTCTCAATCGATGCTGTGGACGGTGCGACGACGTTGTCAAACAATGACGTATTGAGGGGCATGTCTACTAAACGGAAAAATTGTGTCCTCTGGAATAGTCTTTTCCACCTGGAAGTATACCGATGGTCATAAGTGTGCTTATTTCATCATATTTAATGTTTACTTTTATATCCCCAAACATGGACCCATAGCTTCAAGGGGCCAGGAGACGGGGCGCTGAACCACTGATAGAAAAAGGAGGGGCTTCCTCGGTTACACCTGGCCGTGTGGGAGCTGTCGTCCGCCCCGCATAGCACCGGGGTAGCCCTGGGGTGCCATCTCGCTCTAGATGACCGGGCTGTCCCTCAGCTGGGCTCCGCGGTCGATGGGGAGTCGCAGTGCCCCATGCCTCATACAAATCACCAGTCAACGACTCACCAGTCACCCCGGTCGGCGACACCCGAGAAAGCCAAGAGCCCAGACAGTGACCACGAAACCACTGGACGAACCCCAACCCCAAAACAAAAAAGAGTCACGGGGTATGCCCGCCCCGCTCGACCCCAGATGCCAGTCAGGGGAAACCGTTTTTACACCGACAGCGGAGAAGAGCCCAGAGTTTTCGATGTCGTATCAACATGCCCGGGACAGTCACGGAGCTAATATACACCGGATGCGGTCTATGAATCCAAAGCATAATGAGGATTCCGCAGCCAAACACGGGAACGCCACCAGCGCCATCCACATCTTAAAGAAGCTCCGGCATTGGCTTGGAGATCAGTGCCAGCAGCTAAGCATGGTGGGCTGGTGCAGAACAATGCTGCTGCTTAAGAATCGCGTCGAATGATCACCCCATTAATGGCAACAACCACCCTTCGGGGAATGCCCCGCAGCTCGATGTCTAGCAAGCACGCACGTAATGCTTTCCACAAAAGCGAGCAAGTTGTTCTATGCGCCCCAGCCTGCGTGCAAGCATCTAACCTCGCCCGCCGGCGCTGGGTATGCTTCTGTGCTCTGCAGCGACGGCACTCGAGAGACCAGCAGCAGGTCGGTTCGGTCCGGTGTCCCGGTGTCCCGCGGCGGAACACCGGGACAGTGGGCAGCTGACGGCAGCAGCCGTAGGTAGCATATGCGGCAGAAAAATATGGGGCAAAACGGAATCAGATTTGCCTCGTTTGTGTCGACTCTGCGCTTGGGAGAGTGAAAAGGCAGCCGCACAATTTCGAAAGCCGCGCATTTAAGGGAACGTTTCACATTTGCAGGCGGACTGGAACTGAAATTACCATCCTGATGATTACTCGATGCAGTTCACGGCTCTGCTCATCTTTAAAAATAAAACCCCCTTATTTCTGAGCTACACGTCCACGACAGTATGCAGACTAGATCATGCAGACCACTTCACGGTTACAAGGTTATCTACGACTAAGATCGTTGGGACGTTCATATCTGGCGTTCGTGAGCACGATTTCCAGATCGAGCGCCCGTCAGTTGCCGCTCAACCAACATTGTGGGCTTCTAAAAGGACTCGTTTGGTCGTTTGGATTAGAGCCCTTTCGACCAAAAATGGTCATTTCAGGGCTATGGCATGAAAGAAAATGGCTAATGGTGGGGCAGACGTGCATGCACCTGGGTGGGGGCAACCGCCGAGCTTTAACCCGCGCGGACGCGCTGGGCGACCGGTCTAGATCCCCTTCCCACGGGGCTTTCGGCTCTCTCAGAGTTGACGCGTGCATCCTGAGCCGGTCAAGTGGGATGGCGCGACGATGCAGCATGAAGCGAGAAAGGGATGAGAGGAACGACTGTTTAAATAAGATTACGGTTTGTGCTCTACAGCACAATATATGAAACAAGCTCAACACCTTCATACCTTTAATATCTATCTCTTCGTATCTTCAATACTTTAAATGTGAAGCATTCCCTTTAAGAATAGAGCCGTAAGCGAGTATGTCAACAAACGTAAACACCTAAAAATGACTGACAAACATGAGCACAAAACATGACCAAAATACGAGCGCATCACTGCATATGGTCTAGCAACACCTCTAGCACCGCCCGGCCACCTATCAGGAGATAAAAGTGCGTGAAGTGAGTGCTAGGGTGGGAATTTTGCCAGGCGAGCTTGGCAGCACCTCATCGTCACAAATATTTCATGACGCATTCAGGCAAGGGCGCATTGGGGGCATATTTACTAAACGGAGCAATTTTGTGGTCTAGAGCAGTCTTTTCCACTTGAAGTATACCGATCGTTACAAGCGAGCTTTTTCCAACATATCTGATAATTGCTTCAATATCTTTAAATGTGGAACATTCCCTTTCGGGGTTAGAATCATGTATCCATCGCCTGGCTAGTGACGAGGCTAAGGTTCGCTGCCCACCATGTGGTAACCGTTACGCTCGCACCCGGCCCCACGGACACCGGTCAGAGCCGCTGTGAGCTGGATGCAATACATCATGACCGCGACCCGCCAGCTGCTGTGACACCCAGCGCGATGAGGTGTCACCACCATCACACAGCTGGCCATTTACGCTCCGTCTCGGTGCCATACGAGCACGCGGGAGTCTCGCGGCCCCTCCTGACCCACCAGTGGGCGCCAATGGCCTGTCTGCATGGCATTCGGCAGGGCGCGGCCGGAGCGGCGCGGGCTGACAGCGCCGGGCGGCGGCACTCAATGGCTCGCGAGCCGCCGTGACAGGGGCCGCCGCCGACACGGCCGCCTAATGGCGCCGTATCGGGCGCGCCGCCGCCGCGCTGGCCGCGCCGCTTTCAGACGTCCGCCGCAGCGCTGACCGATGCCGGCCGCGCTGGCGCCGCCGCCGGTATCGGCCGACGCTCCGGAGCACCGCGGCCCGCCGCCGAGGGCAGGCGGGTCAGGTCAGCGCCGCCGCCCGGCCGCGCGCCGACACACGCCAGTGCTCCGAACGCCGCACACACCGGTGACCCGGCCTGCCGGAGCTCCTGGCGGACGCATGCACACTGGGCGGGACAGCAGGGCACGCGGCGCCGATGGCGGGCGGCGCACGCCTCGGCGCGGCGCGGCGCGGCGCTCACCTCGACCAGGAACGTCATCACCGGGATACTGAGGTGGGTGTACGTGTCCATCAGGTACTTGACAACACACTTGGTCCACTGGAAGCTCTCCTTGCTGAACGTGCGCCGCGAGTACAGCGTCATCACGGTGGCCAGGTTGTCCAGCTTCTTACTCTTCTCCATGCACACCTGCCGACCAATAACGAGGAGAATGAGAAACAGCGGAAGGTGACGCACCAGCCACAGAAAACAAGTGCGCAGCGAACTCCGATGTCTGATCACGTACTTTTACGTATTTTCATTCTTTAAAACAGGTGCTTCACAGAAAAACCGCACGTAAGCTTGCCGACCAGGCCATCATTTATCTCAAGTAAATCCGCCAGCATCCCGCAGATACCACAATTACAGAGCATTTGATTGATAGGATCATGCACGAACTATAAATGTCGAGGCGGTCTCCGTGGCGTCTGCGGTAAAAAAGCAGTCCTTGCCTTGCAGTAGCTTACCACGCCCTTGCCTCAGCGGGTGGTGGAATGAGACGTGTCGCGTCGTGGTATGATTACTTATTTCGCAATGAACATAAAGTGACAAAAGCAAATAGCTGGGTGCAGCTCCCTCTACATGGCCAGATCCCCAGCTAGTCAGCCAGGATAGGACAGACAGTTAGAGAGGCACCTGATCGAACAACACCGGACATAAAGATATGTAGGACACAAGCGGCCCGTATTTCACGGACCACGACATGACCGGATAGGGCTAGAACAACCGAGCCAGACCGCATATACCCAGGACAATGCTGGGCCTTCCCGGAATAGACATGACTGGGTGGGGCCGCATCGGGCCAGATGGGAGCAACCAGAGCGGGACCAAACACACCGCGGACCGCAGTCGACGACATGAAATGTCAAACGCTTACATTCCATGGCATAGCCAACGCACATGCACGAGCCCGATGTCGACAAGACTTAATACACTTCTGCTTTCAGCATCAGGGCAGCAGTGGTACTGAGCGACCAGTCTCTGCCACACGGCGGGGCTTTACCTTCACGTGTGCAACCAGTCTTCGACCACTTCCACGGACACGTCTCTCAGGTTTCCTGCAATTCTGGTTCAGAGCTTTGACCCGCTTCCTGACTCAGCGCAGCCGACCTTATGCCGGGAACAATATTAGCGCATACCAACTGGTCGGGTCGTAGAACTGACGTCAGTTGCCTGCACGTGCTATCGCCACATTTGGCCCTTTAGATCGCTCCACGGCACGTGTGACCATCCGCTGCTGCGGCCCGTGTCCAGCAACACATGCTATTTTCACCGCAGCGCTCTTCAATGGAGCTTTTCAGACGGCACAGGTGCCGCCTCCTGCACGTGTCCCCGTTCATAGCGCTCCTGTACGCCATGTGCCTCAGGCTGAGCCCAGCGTCGGGCAGAGCTACTAAATCCTCCCCCCCCCCTCAGAGACCTCATGCTGATCGCCGTCCCCGTTCCCCGTTCTTTCTGTGTGACGTCCTTGTTCACAATGACTCCTGAACCGAACACATCTGGCACGGTTCTTCAGTTACATTACCTTCCGTGAGCTTTAGAGCGTGGCTCTGTAGTTCCACAGATCTCTTTTACATTCGTATATCTAGTGATCGGTCATTTTCAGTGTGAGTCGGCCAGTTCATTCCGCCTCATGCGGCACACGTGGGTTCAAGTCGGCTCCACAAAAACTGACTGGCTGCAAAAGCGGTCACAGAAGCCCAGAACTAGCGATTCCGTAACAGAACTGAAAGCAACGCAGCGCTGTGAGCAGGGGCACGCTCTCTGCCTGCCCTGGATCCGCAACATGCAGATGGAGGTAACGGGATGTCGGGGATCGTGAGCCGGTGTCCCAGCCAAACCAAAGCTTTCACCACAGCACAGAACCACAGAACTAAAGGTCGGCAGTCGGGGATCATAGGGGATTACCAGCACGTGCAGGGGATTGCCTGCACGTGTCATCACTACATTAAGCCTTGTCTTTTGCTCTCCGGGCGACTGATCGGTCAGCCTGTGGTCCAACAAGTACCGGTCACAAAGTCAGGTCATGGCGCCCCACCTTCGACGGACGGACATCATAGCGTCCCAGTTTCAACGGATGGAGGTCAAAGCGTCCCAGCTTCGGTAGACGAAGGTCATAACGTCTCATTCAGTAGATAGAGGTTGTTACGTCCCAGCTTCAGCAGGCGGAGGTCATAGCGTCACAGCTTTGGTAGCCGGAGGTCATAACGTCCCAGCTTCAGCGGGCGGAGGTCCTGGCGTCCCAGCTTCAGCTGGCGGAGGTCATGGCGTCACAGCTTCAGCTGGCGGAGGTCATAGCGTCCCAGCTTCAGCTGGCGGCAGGTCATCGGGCGGAGGTCATAGCGTCCCAGCTTCAGCGGGACGGAGGTCATAGCGTCCCAGCTTCAGCGGACGGAGGTCATAGCGTCCCAGCTTCAGCGGACGGAGGTCATAGCGTCCCAGCTTCAGCGGACGGAGGTCATAGCGTCCCAGCTTCAGCGGGCGGAGGTCCTAACGTCCCAGCTTCAGCGGGCGGAGGTCATAGCGTCCCAGCTTCAGCTGGCGGAGGTCATGGCGTCCCAGCTTCAGCGGACGGAGGTCATAGCGTCCCAGCTTCAGCTGGCGGAGGTCATAGCGTCCCAGCTTCAGCGGGCGGAGGTCCTAACGTCCCAGCTTCAGCGGGCGGAGGTCATAGCGTCCCAGCTTCAGCTGGCGGAGGTCATGGCGTCCCAGCTTCAGCGGGCGGAGGTCATGGCGTCCCAGCTTCAGCGGGCGGAGGTCATAGTGTCCCAGCTTCAGCGGGCGGAGGTCATAGCGTCCCAGCTTCAGCGGACGGAGGTCATAGCGTCCCAGCTTCAGCGGACGGAGGTCATAGCGTCCCAGCTTCAGCGGACGGAGGTCGTGGCGTCCCAGCTTCAGCGGACGGAGGTCATGGCGCCCCAGCTTCCGCGGACGGAGGTCATAGCGTCCCAGCTTCAGCGGACGGAGGCCATAGCGTCCCAGCCTCAGCGGACAGAGGTCATAGCGTCCCAGTTTCAGCGGACGGAGGTCATACCGTCCCAGTTTCAGCGGACGGAGGTCACAGCGTCCCAGCTTCAGCGGACGGAGGTCATAGCGTCCCAGTTTCAGCGGACGGAGGTCATGGCGTCCCAGCTTCAGCGGACGGAGGCCATAGCGTGCTGACGGAGGTCAGTCAGCTGGCCTCGTCTGGTGGACGGGAGTCGGACTCACAGAGCCGGTAGACGTCAGTCACGCAGCGCCACCTGGACAGGAATTACGGTCCAAATTAGCTGGATGTGAGATGTTCGACAGAAATCCATTTCAGGACCGGGTTATTTCTTTTGTTGGGGCCTAGTGAGGCCAATAAGCGGCAATTACGGTAACTTCATGTCGACTCCGTTATGGTTTCCAGACGCAAGGAGCGTATCGACCCAGAGGCACCTCGCGACCCGCCTCCATACCTCCTCCCCGCTCCCCGCCCTTCCGAGCGCAGGCCGACAACAGCGGACGTTGGCGCTTGCTACGCTCGGCAAGAGGACAGCCGCGCAGGCACGTATTGTCCTATCTAAGGAGCCTTTAGAGCAGGGCAATAGAAAGCGGGGAAATCGACGCCCAATGCTCGTGGGAAAGCGGAGGTGCATGCCGTGTAACCGCAGCAGCCTTCGTGTATAAAATCAACAATATGCTAGAATTCCAACTTATTGAAACTTTTGGCTGCCAAGTCCGTAACCAGCGGCAGGTGCTGCAAGTTGTTAAAAATATTTAGTGTAACTAATGGACGACCCCTACGAAATCAGCATTCTGCATGCATATGTGGCATGCGCTCGAGTTGGGGTCACTTTAACCCGCCGAAGGTTCGCAGGATGATTTGTGAACGGCGCGACGTGGCCGCCCCAAACTTTGAATAGCTGTACGCAATGAAACTATGGATCTTTTGGTGCACAAAATCGGATGTACCTTGTAAGTCCGCTGACCTATGGCAGGTCACAGTCAGGTCGTGGCCGTTAGCAAAGGCCATTTCCAGGTAATCGTTCAATCTGATGTGACAACGGAGTATTAGACGAAGCCACAAACCTGTAATAAAGTTTCTTTGGCAGAAGAACAATTTAATTTAGCATTGCAACAAATTCTAATGATCTACGGCCAGGTATGGAGGTCACACAGAGATTAAAACTAACTTGGCTTTTTATTCGAGAGCTTGTTGTAAGTAGCAGCTTCTGGTGCTAAATTTCAATTTATCAATAGCACGGACCACGAGACATGTTCCATGTACTTCTTAAAGGTCAGAGCAGGTCACTGATCTAATATCACCCGGGCAGCATTTGGTTTTAGAAACATACCGTCTAGTGTAGTCCCTGATACTCTTTCAAATGGTAAAATAGAAGCATCCAGTAGGTTTTGGCCTCCTTGACCTTCGAAAGGTAAAAAAGTTTACCGAACTTAAATGAAACCAACGAAATTTTGCTTACATCATCTATCCAGGTCCAAGGCGGTTGCAAAGGAAAGTCTGGGGCACTTAGGACACCAATCCGGAATTCGACTTTTGAATCGTTTGGCCTTATTTGGCACTAAAGTCATGACCTAGAAACTTCAAATTTTGGCACAAATGATTTCACAAGCAGGCCAATGCACCCAGTGAAATTGGCGTGTCTAGCTTTCTTAGTTTTGGAAATCTCGGGGGGAGGGGGTGGAATTAGATCCCCATCCGAGCGAAAGGTATTAAAGCGGTCAGCCGGTCGCGTGTTATTGATTGCGTTACAAAGTTATTATAACCCACCATTAAACCTGAAATCAAGACCGTAATGCACTGATGCAACCCTTTATCATGTTAATTCCCACTGGAGCAGCGGAAGCTCGCAACAATTACTTGCCTGCCATCCTACATACCGATCGTGGCACCACCCCTGCGCGCCATACAAAACAGACACGACGGGCGTCGAAGAAGCGTAGCTGTCATGGGTGGACGCTCAATGAGCTTGACTTTTTAAGGAGATCTCATTCCGCCTGCGGAAACCTCTAATCCGACGAAGAACCCATAAAAGCGCCTACACACACACACCGATAAATCCATGGCGCCACCTCTGTTCAGAGCTCCACTCCAGCGTCGCAAAGAACGACACCACCGTTATTCAACGCAGCAACGAAACCCCCCAACCCCACTAACTGTAGAACTGAGAGCAAAACAACGTGACGTGGTGGGGCAAGGTGCGTTAATCAAAACACAAGCTCACCGCGTGCTAATGGAGCAGCACACCAAAGAAACACTCGTGGGGGGGGGGGGGGATAAGTTTACCAAAGTCCTATCTCTAACTTTCTCTCTACTCCCATGACCTTGACAACACAAGGGACATCGATAGGGAAAACATGAAGGGTGGGCAGAAAGGGGACTTCTGCATCAGCTGAGGAAGAGTTCCAGGCCTCTGTCTTCACTTCAGACGAGGGACATCATACCTGCAACTGCCACTGTCTCAGGCCCGGACAGATTCCCTTGCTGTGGACGTCAGCGGTCGGAGATTCCCCGCTGAGGAATCGGAGGCGGGGCTGAAGATTCTACAGGGAGATGGAGACCTACAAGGCTAAGGTAAGCTGGTACTCTTTAAAGCAATCCACACAAAAATACGTTATTCGGTTAGCAATATCCAGTCGATTGCCATTATGTTTACATGACTCATACTTCATGTGTTGAAGCCGTAAAAGGCTTGAGACCGCTCGCGCTGCTGTTAACTGCGTCCCGTCCAAACTGAGAGGAGCCCGAGAGCAGTGACGACGGAGAGGGAGCTACGCAGCAAGGAGGCACTAGAGCGGCGGAGGCAGAGCTCACAAACAAAATGGCCTGTTTTCATAACAAATACTGCAGTCCACCAATGCGCTTCTGTGATTAAAGTTTGGTTACTGTTTACGCGGGCCTGGCTCCCCCCCCCCTCTGAAAAACGATGCCTAGTTGCGCAGCGATACCGACCAGGAGACAGACAGCCATAGGTCACCATTGACCCTGTAGGTCGTGGGCGGTCTGCCCGGTGAGTGAGGAAGTCCAAACACACCGTTGGACTACCGGCGAGCTTCAGCCTCGCTTTCACGCCGCTCGCTGGGCATGCTTGAGAGCTGTGTTTGTGACGCGGTGAAGGGCACGGTGGTAAGCTGACTCTCGAGAACGGTGCCTCGGGCGCACACTTTCCCGGGTCTCTCAGAATTACAGCGGATCACAGCAGCCAACGAAAGCACTGCGGGCGCAGACTTCCCCGGGCCTCTGATCATTACAACGGATCACAGCAGCCAACGAGAGCACTCCGGGCGCAGACTTCCCCGGGCCTCTGATCATTACAACGGATCACAGCAGCCAACGAGAGCACTGCGGGCGCACGCTTCCCCGGGCCTCTCAACATTACAGCGGATCACAGCAGCTAACGAGAGCACTGCGGGCGCATACTTCCCCGGACCTCTCAGTATTACAGCGGATCACAGCAGCCAACGACAAGGCCAGAAAAGCGCGGCAAACATTAGCATACGTACAACAGCGCGGCGCGGAATTTAATCTGAACAAAAGTCTGTGGCACGTATTATGTACTGACCTGATGTGTTCATTGGGGAACTGAAAAATTCACAATTGCCGCAACCGAGCAACATTTTACTTCAGACAAGAATGCTACACGTTCCATACTGCTATAAGAAAGACCGAACTTCAAAATACCTTACAATTAGAGGATAAGAGGAGACATTATTTCAGTCAAGGTTACCCATACAACAAGCTAAATCGAGTGACAGTATACAAACCACAATAATTCAAGTCGACGGTCAATTTGGTAAAGAAGGCGGGGGGGGGGGGGGGGCAGCTTAAACCTTCGCAGACCCCGAACCGAAGACTAGCAGGTTTGTTCATGACTCCTCCGTTGGTCCACTCTTGTTTCCGATGTGTGCACTGACCAACATCTCAACGCTCCTGTGACAAACGCAGTAGATCCGACAACGCACGCGAAGCTAAAAGTTATTCTTGTGACATGAATGCCCCTTCCACAACTCATAGCTACCGGAGCGTAGCCCATAGTCTCTCAACACGCCTGGTTCCATTTCTGCAGCCTTTCAAGTCAACGTCAGTGAGGCTGCGCAGGTTGTTTGTGGCTTCCGTCTAAATTGCCAAGGCACGCCCCGCCCTCGGCTCGGTTTCGCGAGGAGATCGTGCGCCAGGGCTCCCGTGGTGAAATACACCAGCGCACGTGGCGAGAGCACCGCCTGCGACTCAACAGGCGCATCTGCCCGCATCAAAACGGCCAACGGTCTTCTTGCCAGCCCGTCCCATGATTGTTTTCCACAAAGAAACGGACTGGGGGCTCCAGCCCTCTAACATTAAGAAGAAAATGAGTCAGAAGGCGAGAAACCCGTTTTCTGTGAATTTTGGGGGCAGTTGATCCGTTGTTTTGTTTTTTTTGCTGCTCGGTCCGGCACAACTATCCAATGCGGTTGACGCACCCTTAAAAGTCAACAACTTAGTTAGTCCCTTGTAGCATATTTTGAGAAACTAAACCCCTGATCTGGCCCACGTGCGTCATCAGGTATCTCTTGCGATCCTCGCCATCTGCCTCGGGCGCCTTGCCTATTCCGAACGTCCAATGCTGCTTACCGGCTTTCGGAAAAGGCTCTGAGCATTGTATGCCACGCCATGTAAACCATGACCACGTCTGCGAAACATTCCACACTTTGTACTGTGCCTCCCCGCTGACTGGCGAAAATTCGACCTCATATCCCACGTGCCATCTGAATTCGGCTGATCTCTCACCGATGGTGGTGATGATAATGATGATGATGTGGGCTTTAGGGAACGGCAACTGCCCTGGTCACACGGCGCCAGTCAGCTGCATAAACTGCACTGTCTAAACTTAGTTCACAACGTTCGCGGCGTCCGGGAACAGGAGGCTTTCGTCTCCCAACCGCATGTCACGTGAAGTTCGGTGCCGACAGACGCGCCGAGACGCTGACCAGCTTCGCAGCGCGAGATGGTCAGGCTCGGTGTTCGCCGCGCTCTACACAACACACTGGCCACAGCGGAGCTCTGTCTTTACAGCTGGCGGCAAGTGACGTCAAATTCCTTCAGACGTATGGCTGGCAACGCAAGGTCGTAATACGAGGCGATGCGGAAGACCCAGTGAGAGCGTGCAGCCTTGTCTCGCTTTGAGCTGTCACGTGCCAACTTGCACGTCCCGCTGAGCGTCGTTAATGACATCCGCCCTCCGCTGGCACTTTGACGCGACCCTCAGAGCGGACAGGTCCCCGGGAGCGCCGCGGCACCCCACGGGCAGCTGGGCGCCGCCGCACGCACCTGGGCGATGTTTTCGGCGCTCTGGATGCAGAGCGGGTTGGCGTCCTCGTAGTGGTGCACCATATAGGGCAGCAGAGCTATGACGCTGAGCGGGAAGCCGGAGCTCAGCGAAGGGTCCACGACCGATACGTCCATGAGCCGGCTGAAGCGCGTCAGCAGCGTCAGCGCCGGCTCGAACGTGCTCGGGCTGGTGCAGCCCTTCAGCAGCAGCGCGTGCACGCCCGGGAAGGTGGGCCAGCGCAGCTGCAGCTGTAGCCGGTCCACGCGGTCCCGGCAGTCAGGCCGGTCCAGCGACAGCTTGCACAGCACCTGACCGGCAGCGCGAAGGGCACATCAGGTCAAAGCGCCGCGCGGGCGGCGCTGTTCGCAGGCTGCTCGGCACTCGTCTGTCGTCACCACGCACGATCAAGGCATGGGTCAACAACGGTCGTCCTGGTCAGCTGTCAGCACTGCGGCCACCGATCACCTGTCACCGGCCTCCAGGTCAAGACACACGCACGCACGCACGCACGCACGCACGCAGCGCGCACGCACGCACGCACGCACGCACGCACGCACGCACGCACGCACGCACGCACGCACGCACACACACACACACACACACACACACACACACACACACACACACACACACACACACACACACACACACCGACTGTCACAACCGATATTGTGGCATGCCACCGATCACAGCTCGCCGCTCTCGGGTCACCGGCCTTCATTTACGCGTCGTATGACATGTCACGGTTTAAACTGCAGCAAGCAACATACACGTTTGAAGGCACCTGGCTACAGCACGGCCCCAGCAACACTCACACTATGGACCGGCTGACGAGAAAATACCACTGGAGGCATGGTAAGGCAAAGTTGACCTGTCACTCAAGACACATATATCACGCCTGTGTGCGCTCCCTTGCCCATGTCTCTACTAGCGACTGCTTCCACAGATAAGCATTATATCTAAACACTCCGGGGGAGCAGACGTGGCGCCGGGGGACAACCCAGATGACGGGACAGCTCGGCGGCTCTGCAGCCCTCTCAGAAAACGGACGGAGTCCTCCACGGTTGTTTCCATTTATTCCGTGAGCAGGCTGATGCGACCACGACATGCTGAAACCTCTGATAACCTCTGAAGTTAGCATCATTGTCTAGACACTTAAACCTAGATTCCCGTGATATGCACATGCCCTCTGAATGAGGTACACCACAGATACCTGTGCTACCTGAACCCCGACCATCACACCGCAGATACTTGTGCTGCCTGAACCCCGACCATCACACCGCAGATACTTGTGCTGCTTGTGCTACCATTACACCACAGATACCTGTACTGCCTGAACCCCGACCATCACACCACAGATACCTGTGCTGCCCGAACCCCGACCATTACACCACAGATACCTGTGCTGCCTGAACCCCGACCATCACACCACAGATACCTGTGCTGTCCGAACCCCGACCATTACACCACAGATACCTGTGCTACCTGAACCTCGACCATCACACCGCAGATACTTGTGCTGCCTGAACCCCGACCATCACACCGCAGATACTTGTGCTACTTGTGCTACCATTACACCACAGATACCTGTACTGCCTGAACCCCGACCATCACACCACAGATACCTGTGCTGCCTGAACCCCGACCATTACACCACAGATACCTGTGCTGCCTGAACCCCGACCATTATATTTTTGTATCACAACACAACAATAGACCATGGCACACTTGGCCGACGCCGAGACTGCATGAACTTGATCTAGCATGACTGGACTGCAGAATCATGACCAGATCTGGTACGGCACCAAACAGACATCGGCGCGTCGTCGCAGTCAGCGGAGACCATCCCCGCGTGCGAAGTGACGCAGCTGTTGATTAAATGCCCTCCAAAACAGGCGTCGAACGTATCGCGCCGAGGTCTCAGCTGTCGACGGCGACGGGTGACATTGGGCTGCTAAGTTGATTCAGTTCGTCGGACGGGCGCCGGCGCCCGGGGCAGCGCCTCCCCCCCCCCCCCCTCCCCGGGCCGGCTTGGAGCGAGCGAAGCCCATATGTGCCGGGGACTCGCAGCCGGCCGGACAATCTTGACTGTCAGAGAGCGACAGGAAGCTGCCAACATTTCGATGGCGACCGTTGTGCTCGCGTGGTGACGCGAATAAAGCGGATCCTTTGTGGCGCTGGCATTTGGCGCCCGGGTGCGCCTGCTGCACCGTGTGGGTATCTATTCTTACGGAGTTAGATTTTCATTGATCGCATGTGGGTTCCACTATTCTTAGTCGCGAGGGTTCGAAGATATTTGAGTGGCTACGAAAAAACGTGTCGGTTAACGAGTACAGTGTGGTCCTCTTGGGATGAGTGTTTAAAGCCGTGCAGACCGCGCCGTACTCCGTGAAATGGCCCAGCATTGCCAGGAACAGCTGGAGCACGTACAATAGACCAACGAACAACGTGGAAATAGTCTGTAACAAATACACTTAGACAAACAGCTTAAGTAGCAAATAAACGTGTGGAAGTCACGGCATTTTCTTCCGCAGCATACGAATTACATTCTTTTTGACCCTCATTCCCCACACACTTAGCACGCTTCCGCACGCACGCGCGCACGCACGTACGTACGCACGCACGCACGCACGCATGCATGCACACGCACACACACACCAATGCCGCCATTTCCATAACGGCATCAAACACAACACATTATGGTCCGATCTGAGGAGGGATTGGGCCACGAAATCTGCAGACATATCTCCAAGACTATGGTATCCTGGAGCTACTGCGTTTCACGTGCAACAGCATGTGCTGTGGCGAATGCTCACCCAAAATAATTGCTTTTCCGTAATAGTTTAGTCGAATATAATGATTTTAGCTTTAAACAAGTAACTACGAAATTTATAAATTTGATTGATAACAGGCCTTGCGAGTCGCAAACTTAGTAAATTGTTAAGCAATGAGAGTGCGCCAACCTAAACGTCAGAGCACCTCTGTCTACCAAGCTCATGAAAAGGAGCTGTTTCGATGCATTTGTACCCAAATCCGTCTAAACGGATTTCCCAAGGCGACGGACTCCATATGCTCAACGTTTCGGTGTCAACTACATGATGATAATAAGTCTGTCATCATCGCCTGCCCATCACGCAAAACGCGTCTCGCTGTTGTTAACCTTGTTCTCCAGGTTTCGTAATGGTTGTGAATGAATACCTGTTGTTTGAAATTTTAATTTCTGCCCCTCTAGAAACGGTGTTCTCCGCATAATCGCTTCATCTCATCATTATAAATGAATACGAAGACCGACTTTCGCAAGAGTCGGTCAGGCAACGCAGCACAAAAAGACCCATGCCGAATGAAACGGCAATTGCTGTTCGCCTCATTTTTCCGCGCTTTGTCTGGCTGAAATTTTCGGTTAATTTTGCTACCCATGCAGCTCCATTTGCAACATTAGGAAATCAAACAAAAATCAGCCACGTTGAATCGGAACCTACAAGTCGCCAACGGTCTACACGACGCGTTTCACGCACTCTACTGATCGAACTATTTGTTCTCATTTTGGCCATTATCAACGTGACAGTAGTCTGGACGATGCCTTAACTCCACGTCTTTCAAACAAGAATGGATCAACGCAATGATTTCGTTCTGCTTATTTCATCAGAATAATTACCTTGCCAACACGGTCGAATACCAGATACGGGTAGCCAGCACTGGGTTGTGATTATGGAAGCCAGTCCTCACCAGGCTTGAGAGCCACGTACAAGTCACTGGGTCGCGGCTGCCTGTCAAGCCGCCACAGCTGCGAAGTGTACCGCCTCTACCTGGCGACCCGTCCCGACCCGTCCGCCCCGCCCCCAACCCTGATCCCACAGCTGCGCAGTGTACCGCCTCCACCCGGCGACCCGGCCTGACCCGTTCGCCCCGCCCCCAACCCTGATCCCACATCTGCGCAGTGTACCGCCTCCACACGGCGAGTCGACCTGACCCGTCCGACCTGACCCTGACGCTGACGCTGACGCTGACGCTGACGCTGACCCTGACCCCGACCCCAACCAAGCCGACACCGTGAGTCCCCGGTCGTAAATATGGCGGCAGCGGCCGGCCCTCGCCGCTCGTTACACGGTGGCGGCGGCGCGCCGATGAGAGCGACACATGGTCGCACCCGGCGGCCCAGCGGCGACACATAGCCGCACCCGGCAGCCAAACGGCGACACATGGTCGCCCGCGGCGGCCCAGCGGCGCGGTTGGCCAGCCTGCCGTAGCCGCCGCGCCTTACACCGCCCGGGCGAGACGCAGGTGGGCGCCCGGCGCCGGCTGGCGGCGCGCGCCACAGCAGCCCCGCCTGCCCATCCAGCCGTGTTTACATCGCCAGGCGGCGGCGCCCGCCGCCACCTACAGCGTACAGCCCAACTTGCGGGGAGTTTGATGGGAACTGACTTCGCAGCACGGACTGCTCGTGACATTGAAATGTTGCTGTTCGATGCCCTACAAAGTTTCTTAAAGTTCAAAATAAGAAAGCGTCCTACTTGCCGCGAAACAGGTCTGTGTCACGTGACCTTTGGTCCGGCGCTACACGGCAGCCGCGCCGGACCTATCGTCAGCTTTTTACTACTGCTGTGGAACACAGAGGCGCGACCACCAAGTGAGATGCGAGCACAGTATCTGGTGAAACCAGATACTGTGCTCGCATGCGGCACGCACGGCGGGGGAGATGCTCGCAAAACCCGTTTGAAGGCAGAGCACTGACGAGCGCTGGCCATAAGCCATGCCGTCCGGCTGCTGCTCACCATTTGGCTATTTTAGAAAAGATAGGCATCGCCTGGTTTCAATGGGAAACTGCTGCCATGGATCTCCCCGTCAATCATGCTTAGCAAGCAGGGACTGGGAGCGAAGTCCCAAGCTCCACCTGGGGCCTTCCAGTGCGAGCCTGACGCCGCCGGCCGTGGTTGCCGATCCGGCGCCATCCATCTGAACCGCATCATACATCACACCGCGTCTGGCATATTAATGCACAACTGTCCACCAAAATTCCTCACCGGTAGCGAGAAAAGCTAAATCTCACACTGCTCCGAGATCCGGAAGTCACCGTTTCGTGCGCAGCAACACCGCTATCTCCGGGCCCGGTCTGCGGGGCGGAGCGACGAAACGGAGCCGTACCTTCTCCAGCAGACGCATGGCCAGCAGGTACTCGTACTCAAAGTCGGACTCCAGCAGGCAAACGGCCAGCCAGAAGAGCTGCGCCAGCACGGCCAGCTTGCTCTCCTCCGTGTCCGGGTCGGACATCTGCTTCAGGCTGTTGGCCGAGCGGGAGCGGCTCAGGGCGGCGGCCGGCCCGGTGGGCGAGCGGCCACTGGCGCCGGCGTCTGGCACGCGGCCGGGGCGGCCGTCTGCCGGGCGGAGAGGGACGGTCAGCTGGCTGTTCACGCTGGTCGTCCGGGACGCACGCGGACAGACGCAGCCGCTGGGGTCACACGGCACGAGCAGTCAGGGAGGGCCGGCCGCGCGCAGGCCGGCCCTCCCGAGGATCAGAGCAACAGGCCACACGGCTGACGTCAGCCACGCCCGGACAAACGCGCACAAAGGTGTCGGCACCAGCAACGTACGCGTCCGACGCCGGGAAGCCATACACCGCGCAGGACCTGTTCCGCCTCTGAAGCACGCCATGGGGAGAATTAGTGGTTCCGTCGCGTCTAATAGCCGGACAGAAACAACGCGACAAGCAGCCATTAATGCTTGCTGACACGTCATTTCACACACACAAACACTTGTCGTCACAGAGACACACGCATCTCACCACTTTTCAGCACCCGACATGTCCCGGCCCAGGAATCATACATAAAGGACGGCTGAAGGACACTTCACGGCTTCCCGTCCGGCGGAGCGAACCGAGAGCCAAAGCATGCGGGCATTGTTGGTGGCACAACTGGCCGGTTCCCATGCTGGCGCGGGATCGCTCAGAGTGGCGATGAGGGCTGCTAATGGCGTTCACTGACGCGCCCTGGCCGGGGATCCAGTCACAGAAAACAACCTGCGCAGCCTAATAATACTGCTCACCATGCACTCCGTTACACCCAATCAGCGCGAGCGCGACCACCACGCTCTCGGCCACAAGTCACCACTCCGTGTTCGCCCGGCTCCAGCCGGCGGCAGCCGTACCGGCCGGACCGGACCGGACCGGACCGGACCGGACCGGACCGGGCCGGACCGGGCCGGGCCGGGACGCGGGATAGAGGGCACCGCAGGGCTGCCGACTCTCCCCCCGGTCGCTGGGGTGGGGGCGGGGGGGGGGGGGGGCAGGGCGGTCCCGGTCGGCAGGCCGCCCGCCGAGACGGCGGTGCTGGCGGCGGCACGAGCCGGGTCGAAATGCGGCACACGCGGCCGCCCCTTCATCCACCAGCTCCGAGCCAAACGGCAGGCGTGCACAGTAGCTGGGTAGAATTGGTTGGCAGCCACGTGACGCGCCGGAGATGCGATGTAACACACAGCAGCCGTGTGTTATCACCGAACATGACACATTACAAGCGCTACCCGCGACCATTGGGGCTCGGAGGCTCCATCAATTGACGGAAATAATAAATAACCCAAAAATGAGCACGACGAGTGAGAAAATTAGCCCAGGACAGCATAAAATCCCTTCATTACATTTACCAGGGGATGATGTACAGGAAGGACAGTGTGCTAACTGTTAAGATTGGCGTGTGGTTTTGGTAGCGTGCTACGCATAATATGCGAAAACGAGCCCCTACGCTTTCAAACCAAACACTGGACACAAACGCTCCCGAATCGAAGTTTTCGCGTACAGGTTGGGGCATCCACCTAACCCCATCAATGATATACGAGAAAGGGCAGGACAACAGCAAAACTTGAACGAAAGGGATTCGACAATACTGAAACGAAAACAAGGCGAGTCAATCTACAGACACGCAAATTCCGGACTAATGAGTCATTCAGGCCAAATGACCGCGGCTCATTTGATTTATCACCGTGCCCGATTGTCGCGCCACGCATCTGATGCAAGCCGCATCCAGACACAGACAGGGCGTTTTATACCACTGGGTCGGATTTATTGGGCACTTCAAGCCGGCGCCGAGTTTTCTATGGCTTGTTCAATGCGATCAATGTGAATAATGCAGCCACTCTTTCGCGAGGAAGACACAGAGTGGTGGTCGGAAGCTCTCCTTCACGGATCTTTTCTGAGCCATCCAATAACGTGGTCTGCTCTCCAGGGTTGGAGGGTCGGGGCTCACTTCGGCGATTCATCATGCCCGCATTGGGGGGGGGGGGGGGGGGGGGGGGGCGTTGTTACGTGGGAAGCAGAACAGAACGAAATCCCGACAGGTATGACAGGCATTGCAGCGGGCATTGCGATGCCAACGATCGACAACTATAAAATAATAAAGATGTTAGGTGACTCCACATCCGTTGACAAATTTTTGGTATGCAGGTACCTGGCCTTAAATTGTTTTACGATGTTTTGTTCTACCTTAGCACTTATTTCGCGACTTAACTTGTGCGCATGAGCGATTGAACACACACTACTGGTCGTTGTGAAGCAATGCTTAGCATGTACTATGACGTACAAATCATGCTCTTTGCTGTATAATACATGTTTCATACTTTATATACATCCGACTCGATCTCGCTTCTTGCCAGCAACACAGCACATGATCGAGTGTCTGGTTGTATGCTGGGCCCGTCGACGCCATCTGCTAGTTTTGCATGCAACAGTCTGAATATCGGGCAAGAGGGAGGGGGGGGGGGGGGGGGGGGGGAGGGCTATGCTTCGTTAGGTATATAAAGCAGATCTCTACACCTGGGACCTGGTAATGCCGACCAGTCTGTTCCTAGCCAGCCTGTCCTGCCTTGGTACTCCAGCTGCTAGCTCAATCACACACGGAGGCTGAACAAGTAGCTGACAAGATCGTTCCCCACCCGCATATGAGACGACTTTCCTAACGTTTCATGATCCCGGCGTTATGCTATTAGAGCAGTTATTATATTGCTATAATATATTATGTTGGCATTAGAAGTGCCGATTGGATTTCGATGTTTTAGAATTTCAAAAATTTTCTTAGTCCAATTTGGAAATTGGATGGATAGGGTGAAGATCTTTTAATTCTTTTTTAACAACCGATATCATTTTGAGGTGTCGCAAGTTAGTATATGCTTGGACTGTTTAATGTAGATGCACATTACTTATCCACGATTATTTTATTTCCTTTCATTCCATTCGAGTGAGGAAATGCAGCCATGCGAACATTGACCGGGACTCTTGGTTGCAGGCAGTAGTTACCTGATAAAAAATGGACATTTTTGGACAACGCGATGTTTGAACACCTTTTGGATGGACAGGTCGTCTATCCTTGGGCTTGAACTTTGGACTATCCCTGGGACTGGACTTTGGATAATAACTTCCAGAAAACTCCGCTCCTAGCTGGTAAACCTGCACTTCTAAACACACAATCCTGGCGATGCACACTGCAAGAGTCACCAAAAGTCCAAAATATCAGCCGACTGTGACATCACCCGGACGAGCCGCACTCCAGACGGACGGCACGATGGCCCGATCCCGCGATCCCGCACAAAACACGGCGCGCCTTTTCCCGCAACGTGAAGAGATTCACATGCTAAATCGGGGGACCGGTCGTGTGTGGAGACGGTGAGGTAGCCTTGGTCCGCCACGCGGAACCGTCCCTGGTTTAAAACAGCCAGTGTGCTTCCGGGCCGATCCGTCAATTGACATTTTTAACTAAAAATGTGGTACGCCCACCCATATCACCCTGCGAGGAAGAAGGCACCCGCGGCACAAAAGCCGCACATTGTCAATGGAGCAGGATTCTGGAGACAGCGAATATATATATATATATATATATATATATATATATATATATATATATATATATATGGCTACAGCAAATATTTATGTTACCACGGCCGTAAGCCTTATCTCGTAGTAATAGCTCGTTGTCAACCGCTCGCGGCGACGAAAAGTGGTCACACAAACAGGGCTCAGCACTGGCCTCGCCTCCGTACTTGTTAAAAGATTTCCCTTTGTGAAGGGAAATGACAACCGTCTCAACATGGCAAATAGTCTAAAACTGCACTCCGATGAATAAATAAGCAGGCATACAAATACCTCAAAATACACTGTATGTGTATCACCGAACGCGATCTTAAGTTTCTTACCAGGTTGAGACTGTTGACATTTCCCTTCACAGAGTCGCAGGCCGAGTGGTGGCTTTTGTTCAAGTGACCCCGTGTTTTGTTGCCACATAAAGCTCGCGCCTGCATCGCAACAGGCTGCCCTCAACCAGAGGTGAATGTCAGCTCCTGGCCGTGTGGAGCGTCTCACCTCGGTCGCTGGCCGGACTGGCCGGCTGTTTGTTGGTGGCGCTCGGCGCCTGGCCCGTGGAGAAGCTGGTGGAGCGGAGGTGGCCGGCCAGCTGGGTGCCGCACGCCGGCCCAACTGAGCCCGTCACGTGCGGTCGGCGCGGCTCCTTGTTGATCAGGTTTGGTGTCGACTTGAACAGGTCCTTGACGAAGTCAATCGGCCGGAAGTCGGAGTCGATGCAGTCGACGGCCGACTCCAGAGTCAGCATGATCTCAGTGACGTAGCCCTGCATCGGTCCGGTCCGGTCAGGTCAGGTCGGACAGGGAGTGCGACGGTAAACTATGATTAAACTGACGCTAGCTTATCTCACATGAAACATGCGACACAAAACAACACCCCAAAACCGTCATCCCAGCCAGCAGTTTCATTTCCGTTCCGCGTCATTGCCAATGCAGAACAGTCGTAGCAGTAAGATTTATTCGGAGCAGTGAGGCTTGTATTGTGATGGGAAATATCGTTAATGTCTCGCGAATTGTGATGAACTCAAGGCATCTGTAACCATTACATACGCCCCTTGGTTGTTCAAAATGATATAATAGAGCATTCTAGACGACTTGTGGGCAACAGACATCCCCCACCAAGTGCTTAATGAGGCATTTGAACAACGTCACCCAAACTAACACCGGCATGCCGCGAACGAAAATCCGGGATGGCACTTGTAACGGCCTCCACCTGGATGGTATGGCAGTGTCGAACACCTTCCTGGAGCGCGTCACGTCCCAGCGCCTGCAACTGCCGTTCGGCCTCAGAGCATTCACACGACGATTAAAGTGACGCCCGCTGCTAGGCGTTGGGAGCAGGCGAGCACCCGGCCGCGTCGGCACTTGTGGGGCGCCTAACCTGCATGTCCTCGCCCTGTTCGGCCACCGTCTCCACCAGCCGGGAGAGGATGTCGGAGAGCATGCGGCACGTGATGGGCATCCGCAGCGCCCGGAACACCTGGCGACAGGGCCGGCCGACGCGGGTCAGCCCGGCGCCACCCACACCATATCGTACATGCTTAATCGATTTGTTGTTGTTGTCCATTGGTGTTTACGAGCGCGCCGACTTCAATGGTCATTTTGCGCCCATAACGATACACGCTTAATCAACGTGCTGTCGATGGCGTTATGATGATGTCAGCGTCCGTACGATGACATCAGCCGGCATGGGCATGCCATAGGTTCAGCACAGCTGCACTTCTTGCGTTCATGCAATGGACATATACTTTTCCCTCCGTAAGGCCTGATGAAATAGCGTGGTTGTGTAACTGGCGGCCACTGTCAGGGATCTTTGTGGCAGCAGATGCATACCACATACTTGAAATCACGTGCAGTAGCCATGCCCTGTTCCAAAGGCTAAGATTTCTGGTTTCGTCGTAAATTAGCCATCCGGCTTGAATTCAATTATAATTAAGCTGGACCGCAGGTGCCTAGTTCACAAGATGCCCGCCGAAGGGTCGGACTCAGAGCCAATCAAGCGTCTCCGGTTGGCGGTCGCGTGTCTCGACGTTCCCAACATCAGTCTGGGATTGACGAGCCTGCCAGACTCCCTCAGCCCCGCATTTCCAAGGGCAGTGGAAATGACGTTGAGAGCTCCAAACTAAAGAGGTTTAAACAAGTCAGCGTTCGTGAAACTGCACTACATTTACCCAATCGATCAAGGCTGCGAATACGCGGCCGCTAAGAGGAAGAAGTGCATTACTTGACCGCTTGACAATAGTGCGCCCGAAGTTGTTGCGCTCTTGGCCCACCTACGAGACAGCACTGTGTTGTGAGGTAGTCGATGTATGATACTGTTTATGCGAGAGCATTCTGAACTGCAAATTCCAGACTGAAATCCAACCAACATACACCGACTTAAACCATGCCCATGAATCGGACTGCCCTCTCCAGCACAACCCACGTCTTCCGTGTTACAGCCTGCAGCCCGCCGATGGCAGGTCACCAACGCCCGCTCGACCTCACGGAGGTGCGCACGACGCGGCCCACTCTCGGCAGCGAGCGGCAGTGTCGACCCACGAGAGGCGCGCCCACTCTCGGCAGCGAGCAGCAGTGTCGACCTGCGACAAGCGGCTAACTCTCGGCAGCGAGTAGCAGTGTCGACATGCGAAAAACGCCATCATTCTCACGGAGAAGCACAGTAGATCTGCCACGGACGCCTCACACCGGTCTCCTGGCGCAGCGAGCCAGCGGGACGTGTGCAGCGCCGACGGCCAGCGGCCGGACGCACCTGCAGGGAGCGGCTGGCCAGGTGTCGGGACGAGCAGCTGAGCGCCACGTGCAGCGCCACCTGGGCCCAGCGCTCTTGGACGCGGGCCGACGGCAGGCTCTCGCCGAAGATGCGCACCACGTGGCCCAGCAGCTCCGACAGCTGCTCCGCCGACTGGATGTGCCACACCTGGCGACGGCGGCAGAGTCACCATGTATGCGGCTCCAGGTCGGGTCAGGGCAGACGTCCTCAGGGAGTGCCGGTATAGTCGGGTCATCTGACACCCGCTCACCCCGGGCCGGGTCTTCTGGCGTCCTCTCACGTTACACACCCTCACATCCCTTTGAGGATCTCAGATAAGAACGCCTCATATCGAGTCGGATCACATTTATCCAACGTCACGTCGGGGATACCCGGGTCGTCTCACACCCCGTTATTTATTGATGATTATTTTGGTTTAGGGCGCGCCGACTTCTAAGGTTATCTCGCGCCCATAACAGCTGGGTGGCAGCCCACGTGTATTATCCTGCATTAGAAATGACTACAACTGTGAATAACGTGGCGAACCGTCAGTGGCCCATCGCGACTTAGGCATTTGGGCCGTTCTTTAACGCACAAAGGTAGCTATGTGTCCCGTGCGTGTGGCCAATTCGCACCCTACCTCTTCGCGTCTCACCTTAGGTGAGTTCTGCGGCCACGGACCCAGCTGTGGCCTGATCGCATTTGCTGTTTACTGCGACATCCCAGCAGCGTTGCCATTTGCTGTTTACTGTGACATCCCAGCAGCGTGGCCATTTGCTGTTTACTGTGACATCCCAGCAGCGTGGCCATTTGCTGTTTACTGTGACATCCCAGCAGCGTGGCCATTTGCTGTTTACTGTGACATCCCAGCAGCGTCGCCATTTGTGTTTACTGGAACATCCCAGCAGCGTTGCCATTTTGCTTTCATACAGGCAGTGATGACGGGGTAAAGTTCCTTGCCGGCAAGGGTAAAGAGCGGGTGCAAGGCGCGCGCGCTGCCCGTTTTGCGGCCGCATCAGCACGGTCGTTACGCGATACCACATGGCTCGGTATCCTACATAGGACGACAGTTTGCCCGCAAGATCCAGCGCTGGTCGGCCGATTTGAAATATGCTGTATAATGGGGTAAGGTGTCAGGACCAACAGGCCGCTCAAAGAATCGGACAGGGTCACGTGTGACTTGTCTTCACCAGCTTCGATGAAGCTCGGGGCGTAATTAATTGCGACGATCTCGGGCGTGTACACTGGGACGTGTTTCGGTAGGAAGATGCCCGGGTGCCATGGCCATCTTCAACTGCAAACCAACACCCACTGCTGTTCTGGAACAATCGGTACATGTGGCGTGAAGCCCTATGTATGATCCGATATACTGCAAAGCCTTTGACCTAAAGTCGCCTGGGATCGCCCCCTGTTTCCTGGTGCTTGAAAGGGAAGCATGCACTTTTGGTCGAATTAGCTCCCACGGATGTACGGGACGCGACCTTCACACAGCATGCAAACTAATGTCGCTTTCTCGGAAGAGCGCCTTCATCTCAACGCCAAATAGAAAAGCGTACGGCATTCGGCCGCTTTGAAACACAATTTCGATCCTGCGTGAACAAATTGCTCGGAGTCGGATGGCTTCGAAATTGGGCCAGTTGGCAGAAGTATCGCATGCCAAGCATTTTCCTCCTCCGTGCCAACGGTGGTACATTTATTTTCACCGCAAGACTGGCAATTGGTGATGTTTTAAACGCACCAGTCGCAATGTGTCACGCGGTATGATGCGCCGCGTCTTTAGAACCTTTACGGGGATCCCGCCCGCGGTCATAAATAAAACATCCGCAGCTGTTCCCACGAATGAGAGAACGGTGTAGGAATAACAGTATTCCCCTGTCAGCTTCACAAGAAGTTCGAGACACGTCCTTCAGTCTGTTTAATACTCTAACACAGTCGTCACGTAGGGTTTTCACATGTGACCTATACGTCAAGCGATTATCAAACTGCAGAACCCAAGAAGCGAGCATTGGAATAACTCGGAATCGCCTGGTTGCATAGCATTAAGGCCACCGCGGGCAATGACGGCGGCGTCTGCAGCAACGCATGGCGACTGTTGCGGATTCTGAACGGAATCCGCTCAGAATGCTCCGTCTTGCCAGCATAATCACGGCTAACAGCAAGCGACGCTCCCGACAAGCAGTCTGACCAGGAGTACCAGATGGCGACATCATCCATGAAGATAGGGCGGATAATCGACTTAGAAAGGGAGTCACCAATACCGTTTATCATAGCACGGAACAAAGCCATGCTACAACACTGCCCCGGGGACGCTATTTTCTTGTCGGGACCTGCGCGAAAAGTGCCAGCAAACGCAACTCTCTGACTTTGGCTGCGACGACCACTTTGGCTGCGACAGCTTGTAGCTCAGTGTTTAAAACCGGTCTCTGAGCAGACACGCTGTGGCGCACGGACATAACGCCACCGTGTGCAATGGAGTTAGCTGACAAACATCGCCGCCACGCACCGCAAAATAAAGACCAAAAGGCTGTCAGGTGATAGTTTTGTCTCGCGTAGACACACCGCCGTCGGGCGCCGTCCGTCAACGCACGCTTGCAGATCCTGGTAGCTCGTTCGGATACCCCGCTACTTCCACTGTAACATGTTCTTCATGAAGATAAAGGGTGAGGACGGTCCAGAGACCTCCACCGATCCGCGATATCCACGTCTACAAAGAGACATGTGTGTGGGTTTCAGTGAAAAACGAGCCTGATCTAAAATAACTCGACTGCGCCAGTCGCGGGAGACGCAGTCGGTCCAGCTACGGGGCTCAAAGAACCACCGGGGTCCGTGCCCACCGCCGCCGGCTGGGTTCTGGGCCGAGCACGTGGACTGTCTTTTGTGGGCCAGGTAAGCCACGCTTTCCTGAGCCTCCTGTTCTAAACGGGGACGGCGCTGGCGAAGCCGTGACTCGAAGTGGTGGCGCTGGAGGCCTTGCTTAGCCTCGCAGGCGCACCTGCGAGCTTCCAGGCGCTCCAGCGCCTCTGCCACGATCCCACAGGCACTGGCGAGGGGTGTATGCGGTGAGGAGACCGGTCGAGTCTCAGAAGAATAAACGTCCGACGGCGCGCGAGGACTGCGACCACGCCGAGCCACCGTCCGGCCGTCGCCCGTCGACGATCCAGCCGGCGCCGAGGAGGCCAACGGAGCGGCGGCCACCGGCTGCCCGATCGGTGGGCAGGGAGCTTGGAGTGCCGGCTGGGAGTCCGACGTTCAGACCGATGGAACAGCCGACAAGCCAACGACTTCAAAAGTCCCACGAACTGAACTGCCGTCATTTGCCCGATCACGTTAGTGTTTGGCAACAAAGTTTTCACTTCCGATGCACACAATGCTTCCGGGTGGGTTCGTTGTAAAGCTCACGAGCTTCACGGAAAGACGCTTTCAGAGGTTTTAATTGATATGATCCTTTCTTTCGCGTAGGCTGGGCATGTGCAGTCGTACGTCGTGTGTGGGACTTGGTTTTTGCCGCAGCCGACGCAGCGGGGCTCAGCAGAGGTGCAAGCTTCGCTTGTGGTTCAAATGACACACATTTACCACATGTTGGGGCGGTTACTACAGTGGAGTTTGGTGTGGCCAAATCGCCGGCATTGGTAGCATTGGATGTGATTAGACACAAGGGGGGACAAGACACAAGACACAAGACATTAGACACAAGGCCTTCATGCGAGCGTATCGCACACGAAGCTCGGCCCCGCAAATCAGCGCACTGAACGCGATAATAAGCTGCGTTGGTGGGGATAAACAATCCTATCTATTTGATAAAAATCCTACGAGCGGCCGCGAAGCCGAACTCCGACAGTTCCTCGACTATCTCGTCCTCGTGGACGTCACGAAGATCGAAGCAGCTGGCCACGCCCCTGGACGAATGCTTGACGTAGTGTAGTGCTACTGACTTCGACAACATTTTCATGCCTGGCAGTCTCATCCCAAACACTGCACTTAAGTTCTTTAGCTGCTATCTAGCGAACTCCAGTCTGTTTGAATATGGACGCAATGTATCAGGTCTCATCTGATAATTTCCCCACACTTGTCGCAGCCGTTCTGTTTCTGAAACGGTGACAGGGGAGCCAGGCTAACCTCATCCCTTTCAAAGATGAAGATCCGTGGACCGGGGAGAACTGTCTTCTCTGCAACCTGGGGTTATCGAGGTCCGATCCCCTTTCGCAGGACGGGCGTTTTTAGAGCAAGCCAATATCACGCAATGTTTTTGTCGGCACGGGGTCGCCAACCCACCTCGGAGCTCAACTGGGGATGGCCCAACACTCTATCGAGAGGTGGTCACGGCCGGGGCTACCCCGGTCCTCTACAGGGAAAGCCACACCTCCCACCACACGGCCAAGTGTAACCGGGGGATCTCTGCCCGTCCGGCCCTGGTCCAGAGTCGCTGCCCCCTGACTCTTTGAACCACCGCGCGCAGCCGGGCACCCAAGCGGAACTCCGCGATGGGCACCCGGCATGCAGCGCAGGTGATAAACCGCTAAACCCGTATGGAGCCCTACCCCGAGCCCCCCCACCCCGGATATCCTGGGCAAAGTGGAATATTGAGACGCACTGTGACTGGCCCGCACGACGCGCCCCCAGTCACCAGCATCCGACCAACCCGGGGAAGTGCATAATATTGCTCGCAAATGCACTTGACAATTTACGTAATTTTGCTATATGCTGTCAGCCAGAACAAAGGCCTCCCTGTTGGCCACACTTCACGGTACGGCACGGACGCATCAACGGATATCGACTGCACTTCCTGGAGCAATAAAGGGAACTCCGTACCCCGAGCGCACTCATACCTTCCTTAATCACGACAATACATCCGACAAAGGACGTGCCGGGCGCTGCTGTCAGGGAAGCAGTTCCCCGTAAGGAGCCACCTCTCGTGTCTTATCGTAATCATGGACGGGCTGGAGGCGCGCGCGCTGGCCGCTCACGGCGCGGGTGGAGTGCGCCGCGTCGCGAATGTCTTCTGATGCGTGCATTCCGCCGACGACGCGGAGTCAACCGCTCGAGGCGCTGTGCGGCCAGCCGTCCCGGAGAAGCCAGGACCCACGCGCGTTGGGAGCGAGAGCGAGAGCGAGAGCGAGAGCGAGAGCGAGAGCGAGAGCGAGAGCGAGAGCGAGAGCGAGAGCGAGAGC